CCCTGGTCAGGGAACTAGGATCCCACAAGCCAAGTGGTGTGGCAATTAATTAATTAGTTAATTAGAAAGAAAATAGAAGATTAATGAGTTAGATGAAAGTGTGGAGATTTTCATCAGAAACCAGGGCCTCTAAAAAAAGAAAAAGAGGGCATTTTCTGGAGTGATGATGTCCTACTCCCGAGGAGGTGTGAATTACACAGGTGTTTGCATCTGTCAGAATCTATGTATGCATAGTGAAGTCTTGTGTGTTTTATTGCACATAACTTTTACCTTAAGAGAAATAAACTATAAGCCAATATTGAAGTACAGTTAGTGATGTGCATGCTGAAGTATTTAGGGAGAAGTATATCAATATTTGCAATTTACTTTGAAGTGAATCCAAAAAATGTTAAATGGTCTATGGATGGATAGAAGGGTGGAAGGGCTTCCCTGGTGGCTCAAATGGTGCAGAATCTGCCTGCAGTGTAGGAAAGCCAGGTTCAATCCCTGGGTCGGGAAGATCCCCCAGAGGAGGAAATGGCAACCCACTCCAGTATTCTTGCCTGGAGAATCCCATGGAGAGGAGCCTGGCAGACTACAGTTCATGGGGTCACAAAGAGTCAGGCATGACTGAGTGACTAACACGTCAGAGGAGTGGATAGTTAAACAGATAACTAACAAAGCAAGCCAAGTAAAATGCTATTGATAGAATTAACTATTACAGATGTTCACAGTAAAATTCTTTCAACTTTGCTGTATTTTTAAGGTTTTTTTCCAAAATAAGATAGTAATACACTATGATAAGAGAATATTGTGAATAATCGTATGCAAGTAAATTTGACAATTTGGATTAAAAAATTTGACAATTTGGATGAAAAAAAAATTTCCTCAGGAATCATGGCCTAAAATATTCCACAAATCTTTTGACACTCCCTTCAAAATATGGAGCCCAATTCCCATCACCTTTAACATGCTAGATTTCATGACTACCTTTTATTGAATAGGAAAAATAATAGAAATATAAATCCAACTTCAGAGGTTAGGTCATTAAAGGCATGGTGGCTCCCTCTTTTCTCTCTCCCTGTGAGAGGTTGGGAGGCAGGGAGAGGTCTACCTGTTGAGGAACTAAGGCCTCCTCTCAATACCCAACAAGGAACTGAGACTCCCAGAAGGTAAAAATACAACAAATATCTGATGATGGTCTCATATGTGGAATGTAAAGAGAAATTCTCAAATAAATATTCAAAAATATACACAGCCCAAGAAAAAAGCAGGCAAAAGGCTTAAACATATACTTCAAAAAGAAAATTTCCAAATGGTCAAAGTGACCGACTTCATTCAATATCAGAGAGATGCAAGATAAACCCCAACTCAATGTTATTACACACCTTCCAAAATGGCCAAACTTTTTTAATTGCAAAAACATAAGGATATGTAGCAAATAGGACTCTCACAAATAGGACTTTCATCAAATTATTGATGAAAATGTAAATAAAAGCAATCACTTGAAAACAAATATATGCAAAGTATTATGACCCAGCAATTCCAATATACCAGTTCTCATCTGTATATAACCAACAGAAATGAATACATATATCCCCCACAAGACATCAAGAATTAGAATGTTTACAGTAGCATTATTTTATAAGAACCAAAAATGGGAAACTCAAATGTCCATTGACTGGTGAATGAACAAACAAGTTGTTGTATTTCTGTGCAATAAAGAGGAATGGGAATCTGACACATAACAGTAATGTGGATGAACCTCATAAATATGTTGAGCAGAGAATCCAGACACACAAAAAAATACATACATATGATTCCACTTACACAGAGCATAAAATCAGGCAATAAAATGGATTCTCCTAGATATCATGTAAAGCAATAGAAGCCAAACACAGAAGCATATACACCCATGATTCCATTTCTATAAAGCATAAGGAAGGCAAAATTAATCTATGCTATTAGAAATTGGGATAATGGTTACCTCTTGGGAAATGTTGTTATTGGAAAAGAGCACAAAGGTGACACTTGGGGTGTTAACTGAGGTTCTATGTCTTGATCAGATGAAAATCTACAGGATATGTATATATTAATATATATTATATATGCCATTGAAATGTAAACTATTTTTTAATTTATTTATTGTTCATTGAAGGATAATTGCATTACAGTACTGCATTGATTTCTACCAAACATCAACATGAATCAGCCATAGGTTTAGCCACATCCCCTCCCACTTGAACACCCCTCCCACCTCCTCCCCCATCCCACCCCTCTAGATTGTTACTGAGCTCTGGTTTGTGTTTCCTGGGTCATACAGCAAATTCCCATTGGCTATCTATTTTTGAAATGTAAAGTATTTTTAAAAGGCAAAAGAAAATGCATTCATACAATTCAATAATGTTTGGCAAAAATACATTTGGCAAAAACACATAGTGTGGAGAGGCTGATGAGGAACAGAAATAAAGGACCCTTTCTCCAGCTCCTAGGTAAGGATCCATAGTTAGTACACACAGGGCAGCTCTGAATCAGAGTTGGTCTCTAGCCTAGGGATGGAGAGAGGTAATGCCAGCCCACATGCCATGTATCTAAAAGATCAGAAGTTATAAATCAAGTTAGCAAACTTAAATAAAATATGCTCTATCTGCCTACCTTGACACACACACACACACACGCTCACACACACACAGCCCTTCAAAATGATCAGGAATGTCAGATTCAAATTGAGAATCCTCAAACTGCCCAGGTCCCTGGGAATTCCCTGGCGGTCCAGTGCTTAGGACTCTGTGCTTCCACTGCCTGGGGCCTGGGTTCGATCCCTGGTTGGGGAAATAGAATCCCACAAGCCTCACAGCACAGCCAAAGGAAAAAAAAAAAAATTACATAAGCAATCTGCTCAGGTCCCGTCTCCCCCACCCAACTAAGTCCCACCTTGCAAGAAGCCTCACAGTTGCATGTGTGGACACACCCAGGACTTCTAAATTCCATCCACACCCCTTCAGTGAGGGGGTGCACGCCAGCAGCATAATCTGCTGATGGGATGGTGTACCTGAGGAAAAGGCCTGCACAAGTCCCGGAGGCAGACGGGGGCCATCGGAGCAGGGAATGACAGCACCCTAGATGTGAGAAGAATGGTCTAGAGCAGAGGCATGGGCTCTGAACAGGCACATCCCCGTGGCCCCATGCACTCCTTGCCTTGTGGGAAAGCCACAGCCAAAGGGGACCAGCCTGAAAGCCTAGGTCAAGGCCTCCCTTGCCAAGTCTAAGGGCGGTACTAGAGCAATTACTGTTGAGTCCTGCCCCAAAGGCCACAGGTGCGAAGCTTTACACCAAGGCCACGGTGTAAGGCCTTTACACCAGGAAGCGGAGCCCAGAACGAAGGTCACCTCTGAAGCTGATTGAGCCCCTCTGTAACCTTGTCACAAGACCCCTGATCATCACTAACAAGCTTCCTGGCTCCCAATTAGGCAAACATTCCCACTCCAGTAAACACCCTATAGCGCCCCAACCAATCACCTCACACCAACCTTCCAGAAGGAATTTTCTTTGTCTTGAAGCTATAAAAATTGGCTATTAACCCATGAAAACTGTCGGCTTTCCCTGGTCTATCAGAATATCAGCCCGCTGTGCTCACAGTGCCCACTTTATCTCTGCTCTTTGTTCTTGATAAACTCACTCCCTTCTGAAATGCTCTGTGTCTGGAAATTCTCTTCCAACCTGCATTCAGACTGCCTCAACAATTACCATAGATGCCAGTGTTTGCTTTTCCAACTACCCATCCAACCCCACCAAATTACAGTAAGAGTTGGACTTCTCTGGTGGTCCAGTAGTTAAGAATCTGCCTGCCCATGCAGGGGACCTGGGTTCAATCCCTGGTCCAGGAAGATCCCAGGTGCCATGGGGCAACTACTGAAGACCATACCCCTAGATCCTGTGCTCCGCAACAAGAGAAGCCACCGCAAGGAGAAGCCCAAGCACCACAACTAGAGTGGCCCCTCCTCACCACAACTAGAGAAAAACCCATGTGCAACAACGAAGACCCAACACAGCTAAATAATAAATTTTAAATAAATAAATAAAACGTAGACACTTGCACTACATTTTACAGTTTACAATGCATCTTCCCGTACAATACTCTTCATCAATCTTCATAATTTTTCACAACCAATATAGTACCATTTGATAGACGAGAATACTGAGCCAAAAGTGATTCCCTGTAGGCACTCAATAAAAATAAAATAAAAAGAACAGTGCTGCTGGGCTTCCAGTGAAGACTTTCCCTCCAGATTTCACAAGTCATGTTCTCTCTGCACGTCAACACTGCCACCCATCCCTCAGCTTTCTAGAGAACTAACGGGATCTTTAAAAAATTGTAAACATAAGGAAATTGTAAATACGTGGTTGAAACATTTTAGAAAAAGACCACAAGCAGGGCAGGGGACATGATGCCAAAAACAGATCAGTTTCTGGGAAAAAGCCTGGGCCCGAAGCAAAAATCATCACTGGGACAGAGAATACTATGTAGGAGCAGCAACCCTAGCGGAATCCTGGGGGCTCCATTCCCACCCCAAACCACAAAATGAGGGCCTTCTGCACATTTAAGCAATCTCCACCCAGATTCCACACCAATTACACGGGGGGCCTGCTAGACAGCCCTCCTCCTCTCCCCACCCCACCAAAAATACTTGATTAATGAGAGGGCAGCTTAAAGCCACGGGACTGTGTCTGCCGTCGACGGTCCAGAGGGCGGCCTGGCACCAGCCCCAGCCAACACCCGACCCTCCCCCAGTAACGACCCACTGGGCGATGCCTCCCTCTAATTACCAGGCTCAGGGCCTGGCCAGTTATTTAGAGAACCAGTGCCCGCTCCTCACACAGATACTCGTGAGGCCCAGGCTGCAGGCGCCGTCTGCCGAAAGCCGGCTCCCTGAAGCTGCCACCAACCAGGACTCCAGTCTTCAGGACCCCACTCTCCAGGACCCCCTTCTGCTGACCCTGGGCCCAAGCTCGACAGCAGCATGTCGCTTGCACACACAGCTGCTGAGTACATGCTCTCGGATGCCCTGCTGCCCGACCGCAAGGGCCCCCGCCTCAAGGGACTGCGCCTGGAGCTTCCCCTGGACCGGATGGTCAAGTTCGTAGCCGTGGGCTTCCCCCTGCTGCTGGTGTCACTGGCCTTTGCCCAGGAGTTCTCCTCCGGTAAGTGGCTTCCAAGCCCCAGCGGGCCCTGAAGCAAGACAGCCCCCACACTGTCTAGATCACATGACTCCGGCCGGGCATCACCCAACAGGCAGATTACGTATCTGTTTAGGATGCCAGCAAAGCTGAGATGCAAAAAAATTGTGAAAGTCATTTCCAAAATTTTGTAATTAAAAATAGCCTTAATTCCAGTATGCTTTCAATCATCACAATAATTAGTTTTATTTTGATTTTCATGTGGACGAAAGACATTAGAATCATATCGTCTTTTCAGTACCTCTAAAGGTTTTAATTAGGCTTTAGATAAATCTCTTATCTTCTTGGGGCCTTTTCTTATTCCCCACCTCCTGGATTATTGACCTGAGAACACGTTAAGTGCCTGACAGAGCCAGACAGCATGACAGGTGCTCAATAAATCCACTCTTTCATCTTCAAGAACCCCAGCCCTGTGAACAAACACTAACAAATACATATACCGAGTGGTGTAGGTGCTAGATTAACTCAGCCAATCTGCCACCTCTGTTAAAGACAATGTGCCCTTTCTCAGTATCGGGATTTGTTTTTCTTAATATTTCTTTAGTTATTTGGCTGTGCCAGGTCTCAGTTGCAGCATGTGCGGTCTAATTCCCTGACCAGGGCTTGAACCTGGGCCCCTGTATTGGGAGCACAGAGTCTTAGCCACCGGGCCACCAGGGGAGTCCCTCAGATCTGGGATTCTGGCTCTCTTTTCTGGCTGCGTACTGAGCTCCCGACGTTTCCCAAGGAGGTGTGTCAGCCTTGCCCTACTTCTTCATTCACCCAGAAAGCTAGGGCCTGGGAAGAAGACAGTGCCTGACAGATACAGAGGTGGTCAGAGTTCTGGAAGTGGCCCCTGGAAAGCTCTTATCTCGTTGACCGCCAGCTCCCTGTTCCTCCACCCCTACCCAGGGCTGCCTCAAGCTTTGTTCCTGTTTCAGGGTCTCCCATCAGCTGCTTTTGTCCCAGTAACTTCAGCATCCGGCAGGCTGCCTACGTGGACAGTTCCTGCTGGGACTCCCTGGTTCACCACGAACAGGATGAGTCTGGCCAGTCCAAGACGAAATCCCTCTGGCCTCACAAGGTAAAGTGGCTGGGGCTCTACCTTCTGGGTGGAAGGGGAGGAACTGAGTCATTAAGTTCTCTCCTTGCCTGCCCCTGCCATTTTATTTTGGTCATTCACTTTCATGTTTCAGACATTCTTCAAATATCTGGTCATACTTGCTCACCCACTTCTATCTGACTGCCTCAGGTTGAAGCAGTCAGTTTAAAGGGATCCCTTTGGGCCATTTCATTAGGAAAACCTCAAATATCAGCTGATAACAGCTGCAATCTGATATTCTGGACTGGTCAGTTTTCCCAAGAAGAATCAGTCAGTCCCTAACTTGTGCAGAGGGGGCAGCAGGCAGTTGGCATCAAGCTTGTCTGCCAACCCTCTTAGAACTCAATTGTGAGTGTCAGCATCCAGTACCTACACAGTTCACTGCCCCCTGCCCCCATTCTCAGTATGGCCCCCTGCCCTCAATGGACCCAAGTGCAGAATCTGTCTGATTTAACATTTCCAAAGAATAAACCATAAGGGTGGTTGGCTGAGGGCATCATGTTTCAGAAAGGACCTGCGGATCTGTTTTCTCAGTATTCCTGTTTCCAGCTCCACTTGCATCCCCACTTTCAGACATGGCTGGTTATCTCCCATTCCTGAGCCTTTCTGCTTCTGTGTGTGGTGAAAAGCAGCTTGTGGCCCCCACCTCAACACCGCATCCTCTCTGCAGGCTGGTACCCTCTATTACACATCTGCTTCCCAGGTTTCAACACTCTGCCACTCTTGTCTCCTCTCCTATTTCCCTTGTCCTTATAGGATTATGGGGGGATCCCTTTATTGTCATTCTAGTGAGGTTTCATGAGGGAGCAGAAGTACTATGTATGTACAATTTACAGTTTTAAACAGTCACTCATAGCATTTTCTAGTTATGACAATTTACAGCTTATGACAGTTATAACACTTTACACCTCAAAATGCCACAGTTCTAGGACCCAGACAAAACCAGAGATTTTACCAGGGGGGAACGATGGGGGAAGGGATAGTTTAAGAGCGACGTGTACACACTGCTATGTTTAAAACGGATAACCAGCCAGGACCTACTGTATAGCACAGGGAACTCTGCTCAATGTTATGTGGCAGTCTGGATAGGAGAGGAGTTTAGGAGAGGATAGATACATGTATGTGTACGGCTGAGTCCCTTTGCTGTCCACCTGAAACTATCATGACATTGTTAATTGGCTATACTCCAATATAAAATAAAAAGTTTAATAAAAAAAAAAAACAGAGACTTCATAGAAAGAGTTCACGAGGTGTCTGTCTCTGGAAGTATTCAAGCAGGATCTAGACAGAAACAAGTTCAAAGTACTGCAGCGGGGATCTACATGTCAGAAAAGAATCAAATTGTCAATCATGAAATGTCCTGAGAGCTCTTTAAGCCCATATTCTCTGGCTCCACTTTAAACCTATTGAAACAGAAGCTCTAGGGTGAAGAGTTCATTTTCAAGAAATACAATTTCTTAGACAGGAGTGAAAATGTTCCCATTTTTTCTCGTGGCCTAATATGACTTTTCTAACCTGTCTCTCATTTAGTTCGGAGACACACACACACAACCAAATATGCACCCTCCCTCTTTTTCTTCAAACTATAGTTTGGAGAGGCTATAGTCAAGTATTTATTAAAGGTATGTGTTATTTGCTCAGTCATGTCCAACTGTTTATAACCTCATGGACTGTAGCCTGCCAGGTTCCTCCGTCCATGGGATTTCCCACGCAAGAATACAGGAGTGGGTAGCTGTTCCCTTCTCCAGGGGATCTTCCTGACCCAGCGATTGAACCCACATCTCCTACTCTGCAGGCAGATTCTTTACCATCTGAGCCACCTGGGAAGCCCATTTATTAAGGAATTAAACTCCAAAATCAAATTGCCTGGGTCCAAATCCTGTTCACTCACCTAGTAGACACATAACCCTATGGGGGTTTCTCAACATTTTCATGCTTCAATTTCTTGGTCTATAAAATAGAAATACTGATAGTACCTGACCCTGAATGAAAAATGCATATTTAGTACCCAGCATACATGTCCTTAACTCTCTATAAGTAGAGTTTTTACTGTGTGCAAAATAGTGGGCCTAACCTGTTAGGTGTGGTGAGCGTGAAAAGGAGCCATAAGGAAAAAGCCTTCATCTCAGGGAGCAAACATTATAAAGAACACCACCAAATTTATACACGCCTCGACATCAGCTTCCACACACAGAGGCCAGACACAGCACCCAGGGAATCCAAGACAGTGCCTGATGTGTAGTTCGGTCTTACCAAGAATCGAGAGAGGAGAAAAAGCCACTGCGTGTGGGGGTGGGGCGAGCGGGGGTGGGGTGGGGTGGTGGGCAGACTACATGGAGGAAATGGGCTCTGACTTCCTCTCTGGAGAGTCTAAATAAAAGTCATGTCAGGGCACCCGGCAGCATTTTGAAAGCTAGTGAACTCTGGAGGTCTGATGTTAAGAATCTGGAGTGGTCAGAGCAAGAAAAGTGGAAGACTGAGAATGAGGTGCTCCCCCCTAGACTGCCATAATGACCACGGCCATGACCTCCAGGTGCTACCCAGGATAACGTGCATGGGGAGTGGGAACAGGCAGCTAGCGCTCTTTCTCTTCCCTTCCTCCCTTCCTTCCCGTCTCTGTCTGTCTCTCTCTGTCTCTCTCTACCTTCCCCTTCCGAGGCAGGAATCAGCGAATGAGATCCCTCCCTCAGCACGCTCTCTGCAAGGCTGCAAGGTCGGGGCAACCCTGGGCTGCCCTCCTCAGCTTTCTCTCACCCTGCAGGCCCTCCCCTACTCACTGCTGGCCCTGGCCGTGGCCATGTACCTGCCGGTTCTGCTGTGGCAGTATGCAGCCGTGCCGGCCCTCAGCTCGGACCTGCTGTTCATCATTAGCGAGCTGGACAAGTCCTACAACCGCGCCATCCGCCTGGTGCAGCACATGCTGAAGATCCGACAGGAGAGCTCGGACCCTGATGTGTTCTGGGACGAGCTGGAGAAGTGAGTTGTCTCCTCCATACCTTTCCGAAAGACTGCGTCGAGCACTAAAATGGTACCTTGCAGGGTAATCTTAAAACTTTCCTCTGTGCCACCCTTCTCTAGAATTCAAAGTACTTAACACATCACCTCATTAACGTGCTATCATCTCTATATAGGGAGAGGGAAAAGGGGTGTGCCTCCAGTTTACAGGTGAACCCAAAGTGGCACAAAGGGGTTAACCTCTAAAAGACCACTTTTTTAAAAATCTCTCCTGAGGTTTTTTTTTAATTATTCATTTATTTCCGTTTTTGGCTGCACAGTGAGCAGGCTTCTCATTGCAGTGGTTCTCATTGTGGAACGCAGGCTCTACGGTGGGCAAGCGAGCTCAGTAATTGTGGTACAAGGGCTTATTTGCCCCACGGCATGTGGAATCTTCCTGGACCAGGGATCAAACCCATGTCCCCTGCATTGGCAGATAAGATTCTTAACCACTGGACTACTAGAGAAGTCCTAAAAGACCACTTTTTCAGAACCTTGAATGGCTCCTCCCAGGCCTGTAGGAAAAAAGATCCAAGTTCTCCCAAATATTTTTCCTAGGCCCTCCACACACTGTCATCAACTACTTTGTCAAGCTTCTCTCAAACTTCCAAGTAACAGAAACCTTCCATGCCTCCTGGGCAGTCTTCCTTTCTCCCGAACAAGCCATTCATTCATTTAAGCACTCATCTGACATTTATGGAGACACAGCTCTGGGTGCTGTGGAGAGGTGTGTGTACATGTGCATTGAATGAGGAATGGGTAATATTGTATTGAGGGTAACCAGACAACGAATGAGCATAACACACAAATAAATTATATGGTAAAAGATAAGTGGTATAAAGAGAACTGAGCCAGGGTAAGGGATTCAGGAAAACTGGGAGGCAGAGGGAGGCACAGTTTTAATTTGGGTGGCCAGGGCAGGCACAGTTGCGCTAAGATTTGAAACCCTAGTTTGTGCACATTTCTCTCCTCTGAAAAAAGCTCCTCCCCTGTCTAGCTTTCTGAACCCTATCTACCTTTGGAAGATCAATCTAAAACAATACTCTCCATAGATGTTTCTGAATACTCCAGCTCACACCATGGTCTGTCTCCTTTTACAACTGCTGTGGTTTGTATCCATCCTTTTAGCAACAAATCAAGCATTATTTTCATTTCATATTTGCATGTCTCATCCACCCTTTCCCTGAAAGCCAGACTGTAAGCTTCTTCAGAGCAGAGACTGGATTACATATACCTAAATACAACTCTCAACAAACACTTATTTTTATAAAAATAAGTAAGCACACTTATTTTTATAAAATGAATGAACTGGCCTAAAAATCACACACAAAGTAAACAGACTAAAAACTAGAACATGGTAATTTAGAATCCCAGACCTATGCTAATTTAATAAATCAGTGCTTCCTAAGACTCCTGTTTCAGCTTAGAGATTTAGTCTGCCCTGCTGGGAAGAAATTCAGAGTGATCAGTCATTTATTACTCACTGATCATTCCCTGGGTTTACTGCATTGCATTCATAACTTGGAGAATTAAGATACACTCATGGTTATGCTCAAAAAAGACAGATGTTCCTGTGAGCCAAGAATACCATGCTGGATACACAGACTCTGTTACTTCCCCCACACAGCTCTCAGGATATAGTTTCTTTGTTTTTAATTTTGTTTTAAATTTTATTTATTTGACTGTGCTGTGTCTTGGTTGCGGCATGTGAGATCTAGTTCCCCAGCTGGGGATCGAACCCAGGACCCCTGCATCAGAAGCATGGAGTATTAACCACTGGGAAACCAGAGAAGTACATCAGGATATAGGTGATTATTTTTTTTTGGCTGTGCCAGGTCTACGTTGCTGCATGGGCTTTTCTCTAGTTGTGACAAGCAGCAGCAACTCTCTAGTTGTGATGCACAGGCTTCTCACTTCATTGGATTCTCTTGTTGTGGAGAACAGGCTCTGGGGAACATGGGCTTCAGTAGCTGCAACACGTGGGTTCAGTAGTTGCAGCTCCCAGGCTCTAGAACACAAGCTCAGTAGTTGTGGCATAGGGGCTTAGTTGTTCCTCGGCATGTGGGAGCTTCCTAAACCAGGGATTGAACCCATGTCTCTTGCATTGGCAGGTGGACTCTTTACCACTGAGCCACCAGGGAAGCCCCCTCAGGATATAGTTTTAAATGCTTCTTCCTAACCTTGGCCACTTTCTTCCCCTGCCCAGGGCTCGGAAAGAACGGTACTTTGAATTCGCCTTGCTGGAGCAGTACCTGGCCTGTAAGCAGCGCTCACACTCACTAGTGGCCACCTACCTCCTAAGGAATGCCCTCTTGCTCCTCTTCACCTCCGCCACCTACCTGTACCTGGGCCACTTTCACCTGGACGTCTTCTTCCAAGAGGAATTCAGCTGTTCCATCAAGACAGGGCTGCTACATGATGAGACCCACATCCCCGACCTCATCACATGCAGGTTGACCTCTTTGTCTGTCTTCCAGATTGTCAGTCTCGCCAGCGTAGCCATCTACACCCTGTTGGTTCCAGTGATACTATACAACCTCACACGGCTCTGCCGGTGGGACAAACGGCTCCTTTCCATCTACGAGATGCTCCCAGCTTTTGATCTCCTCAGCAGAAAAATGCTGGGCTGTCCCATCAATGACCTCAATGTGATCCTTCTTTTCCTCCGAGCCAACATCTCTGAGCTCATCTCTTTTAGCTGGTTGAGTGTCCTTTGTGAGCTGAAGGACACAGCCACCCAGAAGCACAACATTGACACCATGGTTGATTTCATGACTTTATTGGCTGGCTTAGAACCCTCAAAACCTAAACATCTCACCCATGGGATGTGTGATGAAAATCCTTAGTTAAGAAACTGTGAAGCAAGAAGTCCTATGGAAAGTAAAAATCTCTCCCCTTTTTCACAAGCCTCATGCACTAATATACAAAAACACCCATGTTAGGATTGCTAAGCTTGGATTTAGCTGAGTCGAACATCCTATATTATGTTATCCCAAAGATGAGAAGATAAAATCATCATATGGAAACATCTGAAAGTTGGAGCTGAAGAATAATATATATATATATATATATTAGGTCTAGAGCATAATATGAAGAAAAGAACACTGAAACTAGAAGTTTAGACATTGTAAAAAAGGAGAAAGTTCTATAGGCTATTCATGGAGGCAGGTTTTTCCCACTGTATTTACTCCGTGGCCTTTTAGGATAAACAGTTTACCATGCTCTCCTTCAAAGTCTGCCCAGGGTCTCCTCCTTCAAGAAGCCATCCCCATCTCCACACTCCTCCCCCAACTGAGTGTTGCCATATCATCTGATACCTACCTCTGAGATAAAACTTACTACACTGTATTAATATAGCCCATGTATTTGTGTTTTCAACTTAAATAAGTTACCTAAAGTTTGTGTCATCATAGGCACTAATAAATAAATATTCTTCTAAATACATAGGGAACAAGAAGCTTTGGGAGGTGTTTTTGCTATAGCCGGCCTGAAGTTGGGAAAAAATTGAACAAGAGGACTCTGGTGCTTTGGAAAGCATAAAAGCTGCTAGAGAGTTCTATTCTTCTCCATCAGGAGAAATAATTGAAATGAATGAAGCTCTAGCAGAAAATCCAGGGTGTGTCAACAAATCTTGTTATGAAGATGGTTGACTGATCAAGATGACACTTGGTAACCCTTCAGAACTAGATGAACTAAAAGGCAAAGAAGCATGTGAGAAATACATAGAATCTATCGGACTACACAGTCCACAGGGTCGCAAAGAGTCGGACACAACTGAGCGATTTTAACTTTCACTTTCACTTCATTGAGGAGTGAAACTGAAACCCTTAAACTAATTTGAAACAAAAAAAAAAGTCAAATATGAAAATAAATAATTATGTAAAATTATTACACCACAACTGGAATATTAAGCAGCCATCTAAAGTTACATTTATACAGAAGTTGCAATAACACTACAAAATGACTATGACAGTGGTAAGTGAACAAAAGAGGAAATATTATATTCAGTATCATCTAACCTATGTAAATATGCACTAAAATATGAAACATACAAATTACTACATATGAAACAGACAAGAACAAGAATGTATTGTATAACACAGGAAATCAAAGCCATTATCTTGTGTACTTTAAATGAAGTATAATCTGCAAAAATACTGAATCACTATGCTGTACATCTGAAACTAATATATTGTAAATCAACTATACTTCAATTTAAAAAATTAAACATGTGTTAAAAGTGATTCATCTCGTGTGGCAGATGTATGAATTTTTAAAAATCTTTATATTTTCTGATTTTTGCATGAACTGTTTCATAAATCATAAGGAAGTGTTTCTAATGAAAAATAAAATGTTAATGTAAATGCCACAGAAATCCATTGGCCATAGCAGCTTACAAACTAAGATAAATGACAGTACTTTCCTTCCCACTAGGTAGGATATATGTCATATACGCGGAGGAATAGTGAAAACAAAGTCAGATCACAAAGCCTGCAAGAACAAAATACAGCTGAACATCAAATAAATCAGGCAGTTAGCAAACAAGGATTAAAAGAAGAAGAAAAAGAAGAAAGAAAACTCTTCCTGTCAATTAGAACTACCTATTTTCAGGTTCCAAGGTAAAGTGCCAAGCTATACTATGAAAGGCATGAGTATGGATAGTTGGTCGGCTGAAAGTATTCCTGGCAATTTCCGGACATGAATCTATAAAGCTGCCTTGAGTATGTTTGTAAAAGCACACTAGAAACATGAGGTCCAATGGGGCAGCTTACACTATGGATGGACATAAAGGACTCATAACCTTTCTCTCTGTTGGAAAGCCATTTTATCAGGACTCTTGCCACTATTCTTACAATTTCCAGAAATGAAGTACCTGGATTTTTTATTCTAAACCTCTTTTTTTGAACTGATAATAAGTTTCTTATTTAAGCTTCAGGTTTTTCTCCAGTAACTGTTTTGACAGTGTACATATTTTTCTTAATTTCCATATACAATTCTAGAAGTCTAAATTTTGAGTATCAGTTCAGTCGCTCAGTCGTGTCTGACTCTTTGTGACCCCATGAATCGCAGCACACCAGGCCTCCCTGTCCATCACCAACTCCCAGAGTTTATTCAAACTCAAGTTCATCAAGTCGGTGATACCATCCAGCCATCTCATCCTCTGTCGTCCCCTTCTCCTCCTGCCCCCAATCCCCCCCAGCATCAGTGTCTTTTCCAATGAGTCAACTCTTCACATGAGGTAGCCAAAGTATTGGAGTTTCAGTTTCAGGATCAATCCTTCCAATGAACACCCAGGACTGATCTCCTTTAGGATGGACTGGTTGGATCTCCTTGCAGTCCAAGGGACTCTCAAGAGTCTTCTCCAACACCACAGTTCAAAAGCATCAATTCTTTGGCGCTCAGCTTTCTTCACAGTCCAACTCTCACATCCATACATGACCACTGAAAAAACCATAGCCTTGACTAGATGGACCTTTGTTGGCAAAGTAATATCTCTGCTTTTTAATATGCTATCTAGGTTGGTCATAACTTTCCTTCCAAGGAGTAAGCGTCTTTTAATTTCATGGCTGCAATCACCATCTGCAGTGATTTTGGAGCCCAAAAAAATAAAGTCTGCCACCGTTTCCACTGTTTCCCCATCTATTTGCCATGAAGTGATGAGACCAGATGCCATGATCTTAGTTTTCTGAATGTTGAGCTTTAAGCCAACTTTTTCACTCTCCTCTTTCACTTTCATCAAGAGCCTTTTTAGTTTTTCTTCACTTTCTGCCATAAGGGTGGTGTCATCTGCATATCTGACTGAGGTGACTGATATTTCTCCCAACAATCTTGATTCCAGCTTGTGCTTCTTCCAGCCCAGCATTTTTCATGATGTACTCTGCATATAAGTTAAATAAGCGGGGTGACAATATACAGCCTTGACGTACTCCTTTTCCTGTTTGGAACCAGTCTGTTGTTCCATGTTCTGTTCTAACTGTTACTTCCTGACCTGCATATAGCCGTCTCAAGAGGCAGGTTAGGTGGTCTGGTATTCCCATCTCTTTTAGAATTTTCCACAATTTATTGTGATCCACACAGTTAAAGGCTTTGGCATAGTCAATAAAGCAGAAATGGATGTTTTTCTGAAACTCTCTTACTTTTTCGATGATCCATTGGATGTTGGCAATTTGATCTCTGGTTCCTCTGCCTTTTCTAAAACCAGCTTGAACATCTGGAAGTTCACCGTTCACATATTGCTGAAGCCTGGCTTGGAGAATTTTGAGCATTACTCTACTAGCATGTGAGATGAGTGCAACTGTGCGGTAGTTTGAGCATTCTTTGGGATTGGAATGAAAACTGACTTTTTCCAAATTTTGAGTATACACAACAGTAATTAGGTATCAGTACAGAATCTTTCAGTTTATAACTCTCTTTCACCTCATCATTCTAAAGCGCATACTCGGTTTTGAGAAGCCTGGGACCCAGAGGCTCACTCTAGTTAGTGGCATGGCTGGGGGGGAGAAAAAGAATACTGCAAGCCTTCTACCTTCCAGCCCAGTACAGTTACCAATACCGCATTCTAAAGAACTGTCTATTCTACTTATTTGATGATATCAGGCAGATCTTGGTTACAGAGTTAGAGCTATGTAAGTTTAAGCACAGAAACACACTTTCGGTTTCCTTACACAAATATTTACAGAGTGCCTACTTAGTGCAAGCTCCTTATTAAAAGTGCCCGTTAAACCTTCCATCTTCCCTACTAATCTGAAAGCAGGGGACTTCTTTTTTCTATTCACCACTGTAATCCCAGTAAAATGATAGCGTACTACGCCCTCAAGGAAACATCTATGCGAGCTGTATGAAGAAAAGCAAAGACAACAGTAGTCCCCTTGGGGCTCCAGCGCGTCGTACAATCGGGGAAGGCCAATCTAAGGAATGTGGAAAAGAGGTGCTGAAACACTTTGGGATTACGAACCGTGTGATTTTTGTGTGTTGGTCTTTAGCTCAAGAGTAACAAGCCTCAGCTAAACACACACATGTACACAAAGTCTCAAACGGTCATTTCCAGCCGCTCTCCCTCTTCACCAGTCCCCGCCCTCCTCACCGGCTCCGGAGCCGCGAACCCGCCCTGCCGAGACCGAACGGCTCCCAGCACCGGAAGTTACGCGAGGTTGACGCCGTGACGTAACCTCCGGTCGCGGCTGGCTTCCGAGGTAGACGCGGAAGTGCCGGAGGCGGCTGGAGTCGTTTCGGTTATAAGATTTCTGGCCTAGCCAGGCGCCTGGTGAACCTTCCAGAGAGGTCGGATTTTAGAGGCCTGCTCCCGGGCCAGCCCAGACTAGACCAAGCTGCCGTTGAGGGCCGCTCCTCAGCGGAAGGGCTGATGCAGGCCGCGCCCTGGAGCCCCCATAGCGGGGCCGGACCATGAGCCTGCTGGGCAGCCTGGCCTCCTCGCCGCGAGACCCGCTGCAGTCCAGCAAGGCCAGGATGAAAAAGCTCCCGAAGAAGAGCCAGAACGAGAAGTATCGGCTTAAGTACCTGCGGCTGCGCAGAGCGGCCAAAGCCACGGTGTTTGTAAGTATGCCGCCGCTCGGGCCTTCTCCACTTTTAGCCTCTCCTGACTCCTGAAATCTTTCCCCGAACTGTTCCCCTTCCCAGAGTGGCAGTGTTAATAGAATGTTAGCTCTTCCAGGGTACATTACTTGTTAGCCTTGTGCGAATTAGGTAATTCCTGTAATTCTGTTTCCTCGTCTGCAAATGAGCGCTAACTACCTACCTTGCTGAGTTAATGAAGATTAAATGAGGAAAGTTAAGGGGCCAGTACCTAGAAGATGTGTCAGTAAGCTTTAGTCATTATCGTTATTGCCACAGAATTCTTGGAAATGCCTTTGGTTCTCCAGAGAAACTAGAGAACTATGGCAGAGCCCTGACTCCCAACAAGTCAAATACCTGATTCTAGTTTATTACTTCCATTACCGCAGCCTGTTTCCCACGCACTTCGCACACCCACAGCCGACCCCTTCCCTGAACAGGCACATGAAGCTTTCAGTAGTCCCCGCTTTTATTGTAGATGCACCGGCTTTATTGAATGAGTAAACTCTTTCTGGTTTGTCAGCCACAACCCTTAGACGATATTGTGGCTTTCTCAAGCGCAGCTCAGCGCTTGGAGATAGCAAGTATCTCAAATGTCCTCCCACATGTGAATCAACACGTTACCTCTTCAGATACCAAAATTTAAACATCCCTTAGCTTTTTTGGACGCACAAGGAAAGGTTTGGAAATAGAACACTTATTCTGAGGACATTTATTTGGCACCTGCTGTGTGCACTGGAGAAAAGTAAGAAAAGCAGAATTAAAAGGATTTGGTATCTAATTGATGTTGCCTTTCTTTTATCCCTAAATATCAGCGGTACCTAAAGCTTGGCACCTGTATTATTAGGCTCTTGGTTCCATCAGACCCATGAAGAAGGTTTTGTGAAGGAGAAAGGTATTGTTTTGATCGTTCAGCATTTGAGTTCCCAACTGTGGACCATCCAGATTGAAACAGACTCCTCAGGACTCATGTTTGGGAGATCAATGGAGCCATCAGTAAAGAAAGATGATGCTTGAATACTTGTAAATAGGTTATGAAGTTTAAAATTTTATAGACTAGACTTGATTTTGTTCCATCCAGATTTTTTCTCTTTAAGGTTCATTATTGCATGGTTTGCTTTGGGTTAGGTTGGATTTATAAGCTCCCTAAGAGTCAAGGCACTTGGGAATGAGGACGCTCCCCATGGTTATAAGGGTTGAGCTAAAGTGTCGATAGATTTGAGCAGTATGGCCTTCTTGCTGCTGAAGTCTACCCTAATTAAGGTGACCGTATGTGTTGATTTTCCTGGGACAACCCTACTTTGCCGTATTATTCTGGCGAAATTATTACTGACTCCCCCTTTTCACTCAGAGGTGGTGCAGTTTCCAGATTACTACTGTGCCCATAGTAGAAGTTGGCCCTGCCTTTACTTACAGATTTGTTTACAGTTTGTCTGCAATGTAGACTGGCTGTTCTCCCTACCAACACATACCTCTTTGGTTTAGAATATAGTTCCTCTTCTCAGCGTACTTTGATCTTTTATTCCTTTTGTGTGATTATATTCCAAATTTTTCTTCAAGGAAAATGCTGCTATTTGTGATGAAATTGCTCGTCTTGAAGAGAAATTTCTTAAAGCAAAAGAAGAGAGACGGTGAGCTGGGGTCACTGTGTTCAGAATCATATTTTTGTGATTGATATGGTGTTGGTGCTCTTGGGGGTTTTTTCCTCCATCAAGATATTTGTACTTTGCACCGGCCACCAGTGTGATCCATCTTTCTGACAAAACCCTCTGACCACATCTAATAAGTAATCTTATTATAACTCTGCTACTATAAAAGCCAGGGAAGAAAAAAAAGCTGCATTTTTTTCTATAAATATTTATTCAGTATGTAGTACTCTTTGAGTGAGCAGCTCTTGATATGTGCCCTTTGGAAGCCTAACATATTCCAGCATCCAGTTAGAAGAGCTCTCCATATGCAGAAGGGCTGCACTGTTGTCCTTTATCCTTAGCTTTTTGAGGCATTATCCTCTAGAGCTTCGTTTTTCCCAGGGTTCAATAAGAACTTTACTTTTGTGACTGTGATCATCTCTGCATGTACTTCTGACTTCCTAGTGCTTGAATAAAATATGGACAGAATAAAATATGAGCCAAAACAGAAGCTCATACCCCTGCTTCCTTTCCTCCCCAACATCAGGTACTTGCTGAAGAAGCTCCTCCAGCTGCAGGCCCTAACTGAAGGGGACGTACAGGCTGCAGCTCCTTCCCACACCTCCAGTTTGCCCCTGACTTACAGTGTGGCCAGCTCTGTGGGAACCCTCCAGGGAGCTGGGCCGGTTTCTGGGCCAACCACTGGGGCTGAGGAACCATTTGGGAAGAAATCCAAGAAGGAGAAAAAAGAAAAAGGCAAAGAGAACAACAAACTGGAAGGTACCTTGGGGAGAGGATATCAGTTGTCCTGGTGGCTCAGCAACTAATGACAAGAACCTGGTCCTGACTGGTAGACACTCGGCCACAGAGATGATGTAAAGTCTCGCTGGTCCTTAAGCACCCCCGGTAAAAGCCCGTGAAAACCAAGTGTCTTCAAGCCACTCCGGGTAGAGTACTCACAGTGAGACCTGATTAAACGTAATGGGAGCAGTTCAGGGTCTCCCCCACTTCTCCTACACTCCCAGCTGTCTGGGAGCCTCCAGTTCAGTCTTTCCTAGAGGCAGGGAAATGGGCTCGGTGGCCTTTGAGCACACAGATGGCTTGGGAAATTGCTGACCTTATAAGTGAAGCCTTATATACAAAATATAAGGCTTCTAGATCCTAAGCACTGATGCTGAAATTGGTTACAGCCAGGTGGGCGGGTTAGAAAGATGAACAGGGCTTTGAGGAAGAGCCCCATGTGCCCTTTCAGTGTGTGCGTGAAACCAGGATTGGCTCATTGCTCTTAGCATCGTGTAAGTTTTTTCCCTTCCCCTCAGCATTGGGAGGGGCCTAAAGTGGGTGACCCCAGATTTGCGTTTCAGTTCTGAAGAAAACATCCAAGAAAAAGAAAATGGAGGCAGGTGCTCGCAAGCCGGTTCAGCCCATTGCCCTGGACCCCTCAGGACGGCCTGTGTTCCCCATCGGACTGGGGGGCCTAACAGTGTATAGCCTGGGGGAGGTGAGTGAGCCCAGCAACCAAGAGAAAGGAGAAGCAGAGATTCGGGAGTGGGGTTGAGCCTTCCCTCCCTGTTCCCATTAGCAGCAGTCCCTTGCTGATCCAGAGCAACCCCTGAAAACCTCCAGTCCCTAAGAAAGCAGATTGTTTTCATCGGCTACACATCCTGCGCTCTGTCTCTCTGATCTGAGTCACTCTTTGCAGCCCCAAGGTGGTTCTAGAGGCTTCCACAGTACCCTGGGTTTTTCGGTTCTCCGGCGACCTCAGTGGCAAGTTGGGGGGAATCTTTTCTTTTCTAGATCATCACCGACCGACCTGGCTTCCATGACGAGACTGCCATCTACCCCGTGGGCTACTGCAGCACTCGGGTCTATGCCAGCATGAGGAGTCCAGACCAGGAGTGCCTGTACACCTGTCAGATAAAGGATGGTGGCACGCAGCCTCAGGTACCCGCCCTAAGGATAACTGCTGGGGTTTGTTGGTTTTTTCCCCCCTCTTTTTCTGAGCACCTTCTCTGTGACAGGCACTCTGCCAGTAACTGATGGAGCCAGGATGTGAACCTGCATCTGTGTGATTCCCCGACTGACACCCCTTCCCCCGAACCATTCTGCTCCTCACGTTAGTGGTGACCATGTGAGGCCTGACCAAACTGCTCGTGTATGAAATGTATGCTTACACTCGTGGAAGATTAGTGTGACACTCTGCCAGTTCAGGTGGAACTGAAATGGAGGCAGCAGAGAAACTACATACTCACTTTTGACTGCACATGCTCTTTTTCTTTTTTAATGTATTCATTTATGTTCAGCTGCACTGGGTCTGCATTGCTGCGCATGGCTTCTCATTGTGGTGGCTTCTCTTCTTGAGGAGCACGGGCTCTAGGCATGCAGGCTCAATAGTTGTGGCACATGGGCTTAGTTGCTGCACAGCATGTGAGATCTTCTGGGACCAGGGACTGAGCCCGTATCCCTTGCGTTGGCAGGCAGACTCTTAACCACTGCGCATCCTCTCAGTACGTGGTTCAAGGCGGTTCATTTTCCCACACCATGTCCTCTGATCCTTGGGGAAGACTGTTGTCAGAGTTGCAGGCTTCGCTGTCTGATGATGTTGCAGATGGCTGGAAAATGGGGTGGAAGCTTTGAGCAGAAACTGAGAGCCTGTCTGCCACTTGTGGATAATACTGCATCGCTCCTATCCTTGTTAGAAGGCTCTTAAATGCAGCTGAGAGTTCTGATGACCTTGGCCATGCAGCATTTCTCTTTAGACAGTGTTCTAACAGACAGACTTGATGTTGTAGCAGTGTTTATAACAAATCTATGTATTTAAGGAAAATCCAATCAGAATCCTTATAGAATGTAAATGGCAACCAACAAGCCGGTCCTTAATTCCCTCTGAAAGTGTTAGTTGCTCAGTCGTGTCCGACTCTTTGCCATCCCATGAACAGTAGCCCACTAGGATCCTCTGTCCATGGGATTCTCCAGGCAAGAATACTGGAGTGGGTTGCCATTTCCTTTTCCAGAGGATCTTCCTAACCCAGGGATTGAACCTGGTTCTCTTGCATTGCAGGTGGATTCTTTACCATCTGAGCCACCAAGGGAGCCCTGAAAGACACATGCTAAAATATTTTTGAAAACACAGATTCTGTAGGGGTTTTTGTTTCTTTTATTAAGCCATTAGTCCATCCAGACAGAATTTTCAGGTACTTTGTGAGCTTTCATTTTTTTCCCTAACTGACATCAAGTGACACCTTTGAAGTGAAGTGGGCTTTTCTTGTGGTTCATCTGGTAAAGAATCTGCGTCTAGTGCGGGAGACGTGGTTTTGATCCCTGGTTGGGAAGATCCCCTGGAGAAGGGAAAGGCTATCCAGTATTCTGGCCTAGAAAATTCCACAGACTGAGCTTTCATTTTTTTCCCTAACTGACATCAAGTGACACCTTTAATGTATACTAAATACGTGTAATACTTTGTTGTGTTTCCAGACAGTTCTATTTCATCTATTTGACTATAAATGCCAATGTGACTTTTACTTGCTTTAGCTTCATAGAATGTTCTATACTATAATATGTTAAAACATAGAACAGTACTTTTATAGTCCTAGGGTGAGGTGAAAGGTTTTCTTTAGCAAGATGTGAAAAGTAGAAGCTATAATGGAAAATAGTAACAGATTTGACTATTAAAATTTTAAACACTTCTGAATGACAAAAACCACCATAATCAAAGTTAAAACTCAAGCAACAAACAAGAAGAAAACATATCACAGTGGATTAAAATCCAGATAGTATTCTTGTAGTCTAAGATATAAAAGCAATCAGATGAGAAAAGAAAAAAAAAACAGGTATTTCACAGAAACAGTGCAGATGGTCGATGAGAGCAGACATCACTTGTAGTTAGGGAGATGAAAACAAAAAGATCTTATTTTTCTCATACTCAAATATCAGATAGATAATAGCAAATGTTGGCCAGTGTGTAGGAAAACAAGTACAAATGGCATTAGTAGGAGTGAAAATTATAACGTTTCTTCTTTTGGAAGGCTGCTGGGGTAGTATCAACAATTTTAATGTGTGAATCTTTGATCCAGGATACTTCTAGATATTCTAGAATGTCTTAGAGAAATGCGCAAATGTGAACAGAAGAGTTACATATAACAGTATAATTGTGACATTATTTGCAATAGCAAGAATTTAAAAGTAGCCTAAGTATCCATCAGTAGGAGAATGGTTAAAAATTAAGATATATCCACCTTATGTAATATTATACAACAGTTAAAAGAATGAAGTAGAGAAAGATCCCAAGACCAAAATAATACATTTTAGGCTTTTAACTGTGCTTTGCTCAGATAGGATATATAAGTGTACACACAGTATAAAAGATTGGAATTGGCATGATCAATATCAAATAGAAGAGCAACCCTGAAATATTTGAAGATAATTGTTCACAGTTTTTTCATGAATTAGCTGAGAATTCAATATAAACCATCAGAATGTTAAACTTGCAACGTATGTCATTGAAATAACAAAACCATTCTGACTGAAACTACTCACAAGATAATTTATTATTGACAAAATTGAAAGAGCTCTGAAATTTGACACAGGAAGATTGAATCAAATGAAATTATAACCACAGAAGAAAACTAACAGTAGTAGAAGCTACTCAGTAAGGTTTGTTTTGGAGTCTAAAAAAAAAAAATTATAAATGTACATAATTGTAAACATATATAGTGTGTGTGTGTGTGTGGGTGTATATATAGAGATATACAGAAAATAGATTAATCCTGTGTGGAATAATTTGATTAAACTTTGAAAGACTGGAAACTGCTTAATTGAACTTTATAGAAAACCAGTTGGTCACGGAATTTAACTGACTAAATATAGAACCTGTTACAGAAAAGAATTTAATTTTCTTTTTTTTGCCAGAAGTCTTTAAACAGTATAGAAAACTCGTCAGGGAATCGTTGGCTAGATCGCACTTGTTACAAAATACTTTGCTGGCAAAAATTTCTCAGTATTAGTAGAATCTTGATCTAACAGTTTCTTTTTATAAACAATCAAGATATTCTACAAATAAAGTGAAATGGGGATTTGTAGTCAAAATGGCCTAGATCTCTACCTAGATAATGTAAAATCAACATAAAATTATGTGGAGAACAATCTCATTTGTTTTAAAATATCATCTATATTTATAGCTTATAAATATAAGTTAGTGGATAAGAAAGCATCTGGAAAGATATGGAAAAATTAAGCATTGCCCTCTGGACAGTAGTTAAACAAAGGGTGTAGAATCGAACAGCTGAAAGCCTGCCTTTGTTTTGTGGCTTGGAGTGTCTAACAGCCAAGACACTGTTAAACAAGAGGTACACCTTGCTTCAGGTTCCAGAGTGAAGAATAGCAGTAGCAGCAGTTTGACTCTGCCACCTTCTCCCTGAAGACTGGGCTCATTGCTCCTTTATCTTTCTCAGTTTGAAATTGTTCCTGAAGACGACCCCCAGAATGCTATCATCAGCTCCTCCGCTGACGCCTGTCACGCTGAGCTGCTCAAGACCATCAGTGCGGCTATGTAAGTTGACCAATAACTGGAAGGCAGGCTAGAAAGGTCAGTTGGGTACAGTGAGACCTTCTTTCTTGCTTTTAATGAGTAGAGATCCCTTATGGTATAGAAAGCTAGCCTGTGTCCTTGGCATATCTTGGCAGCCACAGTCTCCAGACTCTCCAAGTCAGGAAAGACTACTCTGTGTGTTCATACTCATCTCTCAGCTCTCAAGCAAAAATTCTCTCTCTCCCATTTAGGGGGAAACTAATACCCAACCTGCATCCATCTGGAGCTGACTTTTTTGGGTTTTCTCATCCAACCATCCACAACCTGATCCAGAGTTGTCCAGGAGCTCGGAAATGTGTCAAGTAAGTGGGATCGAATCCATTTCCTTGAAAGAAGTTCCATGATCCGTGGGCCAGGGACTAAACTGGTGGTCACTGCTCTGCTCATTCCTCTATTTATTGAGCTGCTTCTGTACCTAAGGCACAGTATTGTCTTCTGCGGCCTATGGACAGTATCCCGCTGTCCTGGAGGTCTTATTATTTGTGTGCATCACAATAGCAAACGGATGGGGAAGTCCTGCAAATAAGTGTCACTAGAGATGCCTGTCTGTGTGCTTTTCAATTTTGGTTAGTTGATATGTTTTTCAGATATATATGGGAGAGACCTAAATAAAAAAACACCTGATCCCTTTGGAGGGACGAATGGATTGTTAACAGCCAAAAGATGACTCAATAATGTTCCCTGTGGTCCTGCAGTTACCAGTGGGTGAAGTTTGACGTGTGCAAACCTGGAGACAGCCCGCCACCACAAGAACAGCTAGAGAATGACATAGGTACAAGCTTTGAAGCCTTTCAGAGACATAGCTTCGATGAAGATCATAGTGATCCCATTCTACAAGGTATCTTTTTTATTTTTCCCTTCTGGTTTGCAAGTTGACCATTTTTAAGCTGCCCTCTTCCTTCATCGCTGAGTATCCCACTGACCTGGGCAGTGAGTGACAAAGGCTTTCCCTGCTCCAGCCACAGGTAGCCCTAGAAGTCTCAAGGCATGGCTGAGATCCTGGGGTGGCTCACCAGGAGCTTAGGGCAGCTCATTTTCTAAGCTAGATAAGTCCTCAGCAGAACTCTCAGGGGAAGTTTACTGTGAGAAACATCACATGTAGTGAGGAGATCCATGGCCTTGGTCCTGCCTATGCTCCATGGATTCCCCCCACAAATGAGTGGAGTGATCAGGGGATCCAGCATGGGAGTCATATAGGGAGAGCTCTGGATGGGAAATGAGAGAATTAACTTCTCTGTCTTTGCCTACTGTGCTCTGTAACCTTAGGCAAGTTACTTAATCTATTTCAGCCACAGTTTTCTTTATTTTCTTTCTTTTTTTAACATTTTATTTTAGTTGATTTACACTGTTAATTTCTGCTGTGCAGCAGAGTGATTGTTATACATATATATTTTATATTCTTTTATGTTTTGTCGCTTGATATTGACTATAGTTCCCTGTGCTATACCCTCGGACCTTGTTTTTTATCCATCATGGATGGTTTTTTATCCATCCATCCACGAGATACCCATACATCTTATTCATGTACATACTAGTCTGCATGTCTGGTCTACTAATCCCAAACTCCCAGTCCTTTCCCCTCCCTTGGCAGCCACAAGTCTGTTCTCTATGAGTCTGTTTTTGTTTTGTGGGTATGTTCATTTGTGTTGTATTTTATATTCTGCATTTAAGCAATATCATATGGTATTTGTCTTTCTGACTTCACTTTGTATAACCTCTGTCCATCCATGTTGCTGCAAATGGCGTTATTTCATTTTTTTTTTTAATTGCTGACCTATATCCCATTGTATGTATGTATGTGTATATATGTTTATATACTGCGTCTTCATTCATTCATCTGTCAGTGACTTGGCTATTATGTTGCTATGAACATAGGGGTGCACATATCTTTTTGGATTAGAGTTTTGTCTGGGTATATGCTCAGGCGTGGGATTGCTGGATCATATTTATAACTAGTTTTTTGAGGAACCTCCATACTGTTTTCCACAGTGGTTGCACCAACTTACATTCTATCAACAGTGTAGAAGGGTTCCTTTTTCCCCACACAGTCGCCAACATTTATTATTTTGTAGACTTTTTAATGGTGACCATTCTGACTAATGTGAGGTGGTACCTCATTGTAGTTTTGATTTGCATTTCTGTAATAATTAGGGATGATGAGCATCTTTTCATGTGCCTGTTAGACATTTGTATTTCATCTTTGGAGAAATGTCTGTTTAGAAGTTCTGCTCATTTTCAGTTGGGTTTTTTAATTGTATGAGCTATTAGTATGTTTTCAAAACAAAACTATTGTCAGTCAAATCATTTGTAAATATTTTTTCCTAGTCCATAGGTTGTCTTTTCGTTTTACGGTTTCCTTTGCTGTGCAAAAACTTTTAAGTTTGATTGGATCCCATTTGTTTATTTTTGCTTTTATTTCTTATGCCTTGGGAGACTGACCTAAGAAAACATAAAACATACAATTTATGTCATGTTTTGTCTGTGTTCTCTTCTAGGAGTTTTATGGTGTCATGTCTTATATAAAATCTTTAAGCCATTTTGAGTTTATTTTTGTGTAGGGTGTGGGGTTGTGATTGATTTACATGTGGCTCTCCAGCTTTCCCAGCACCAATTGCTGTTATTTTAGCCAGTTTGTGTCATTGTAAAAGTAAACATTGTCCTGTCTCATCAGACAAGGTCAGAATTGGGCTGACAGATGCGAAGGAGTTGAAAGAATTAAAAGGATATGTATGTGTCTGATCAAGCCAGTCTCCTAAGATTCCCAGGCAGCAGTGGAACTCAAGGAATTTTTTTCTCCAGGATCCTTGGACCTCCCGGAGCTTCAGCCCACAGCCTTTGTGTCTTCTTACCAACCCATGTTTCTGACCCATGAACCGTTGGTAGATGCTCACCTACAGCACCTGAAGTCTCCGTCGCCATGTAGCCCATCTCAGTCTTCCGACTGAAGTAAAAGGGATCGATACCACATCATTCTCATCAGGATGGGTATTTTAGCTTAAACTAAGTAACACTTAGATTATATAGAAGAAGGCAGCAACTCAGGAGTGAAGAAGATAGTAAATTAACAACATTTTTGTCACAGAGGTTCCTATGGTGACAGCTTTCCTGGGAAAAACTTCAACTGTTTTATTTTTAGTAATAAATTTCTGTTGACAGTTCTGCTTATTTTCATCTTGTTGTCATGATATAATCAGAATCTTACACCTTCTGACAACCCTCCGCCCTTATTCTGAGCCTGGGTCGTTGACTGTAAGTCTCAGCCCCTGCAGCTGCTTTATCTTCATGTTGGTGTGATCAGAATCAGATACTACTCATCCCCAAGCTGGAAGGTCCAGTCCAAAGCCCACTGTTCTTTTTCACATTTCACAAGAGGATCCAAAAAGTCATCTCTAGCCTTGTCTACATCCCCTTTGTGGCTCCACTGAATACATTGAAGCCACACATTAACACAAATAACATGATTGGTTCCCATCCTCCATAACAGACTCACCCCATCAGTTCATTAGTTGTGTAATAACACTGCATTCTATATAACAGAATTTTCTGGACTCCACTTAAAGCATTAAGGTAGAGGCTTACCCCATCACTGAAACCCAGCCAGTTCACCTCCACAGTACCTTGTGTGATGATTCACTGTCACCCAGCCAGGAACCAGGGCTGGCTGGAATGGAAGGAACCAGAGGAGGCCAGAGGTAGAAGGCTGGGGAAGGAGTGGTGAGAACTGAGTTGTCACTGTGCTACAGTCCATCGCCACTAACAGGGAGAAAACAAACGGGGCCTGGCACTTTATGGGACTACCTGGACAGCCGAGGGACGGATCAAATGCAGCCTTTAGTGCACATCACACTGGCCACCATAACGTATCAGAAGCTGAAGTGACTGTTAATTTTATGACTCTTAGTTATGGTCTTACAAGTTTGTATAACTTTTACAGTGCAAAAATATAATAAAACCTGGATAATAGCAAATCAGGGATAGAAAGGAGATCACTCAAAACTGTTGCATGTTTTCATTTTTCTTATTTCTCTGCGTCAGATGCCAGAACCCATTTGCACTTAACACAGAAATGGTATCTGCTGCATAATCTATATTTTTCCATTCTCTTACAGCCCGAGTTAATCACAGGTTCACAGTGAGCTTCATAAGTATTCATTTGTAGCTTCCCTAGAAGCTCAACCTTGTTAGTTGTTTCAACTTTGGCAGTCAGTCAAGACCCACGTCTTTTTAAAATTAAGTTAGAAGACAACATACTGGAATGCGTTGCATGTGAAAGGTTGAATTCAACTATACTGTGTATATAGGTGTTTATCTCCCATTCACATGATGCACATGGGGATATATGATACAAAGTGTTTTTACTATGGATCATTGTTTTAAATAACTTGAAAAACACTGTCGTAGCTATACACCTAAAATTTTTTTCATCTATTGGATTGTTAAAGATTTAAGTTTGACAACATTCAATGTTGGTGAGAATAGGGCAGAAATACGGGACTCTGCCTTGGTGGGAATGTCAACTGTTGAATCCTTTGGAAGGGTTAAGCTGTAGGCATTAAAATGTTAAATGTATTTATCCTTAAACCTGTTGGTCCACATTAAGGACCCTAAGAGATTAAGTGCAGAATGACATTGACATGTAACAGTTATCACAGTACTAGTTTAAAACCCTCTGTGTCCACTAATAGCAAATTGGTTAAAGTATGGGGCACCCACAAACTGAAGCAAATGAAATCTCTTTTCACTTTACCTAAGAAAGTTATTTTGTTAGAATAAGTCAAAAACACCAATTACAAAATAATATACCCGTGTAGTAGTATTTAAAATGTGACCCAAACAAATCAAGTGATGTTCACCAAAACACTGTGTCCAGATGATGAATTTGGGAGTGATTTTTACTTGCTTATACTCTTCTTTAGCATCCAAGTCTTCTACAGTGATCATAAATTTCACTTTCAAACAGTATTATTTTCAGTTGGAAAATAAACTGAATTTCTGCAGAATGTTTTAAGTTATTCAACCATTAAAAATAAATTAATTTTCACATGACTTTGCATTAAGATATCCACTACCTAAACCTAACTGGTTATATGGTGTGCCCTAGGTTACTAGGAGTGAAGGGAACATGGGCCTAGAGCTCTTGGCCGTCTCTTGCTCCTTCCAGGTTAGAACAGCTACTGAGTGCCTCTATGATGGGGGTAGACAGTAGATTCATTTTTTTTCTCAGGAGTTGGTGCAGGGTTTGTGGTTTCTGTGAGGTCAAATGAGTCAGAGACCAGGGTGCAAGCATGAGAAGTTAATTGTACGCTAGAAGTCCTCAGAGGAGCCAAAGTTCCTTGCATGCTGTATAGCTGTTTTGGTTTTTGCTAACTAAAATCTTGGTACTGGGGCTTCCCTGGTAGTCCAGTGGTTAAGACTGCACTGCAGGGGGCACGGGTTCAATCCTTGGTCGGGGAATTAAGAGTCTGCTTGCTGTGTGGCACAGCCAAAAAATTAAAAAATAAATAAAATTTTAAATAAAATCCTGTTACTAACAAAGCACTCCTGCTGTTCAGTTACACTAGGACGCCTTGGGGCAGGTGTGGGGAGTGATGCCTGTGCCTCTGTGCTTGTTTTTCACATTAAGACAATGGAAACTACTTGCAGATAAATCTCACTCCTTTCTCAGCTTCAAAGGACAGTTTGCAAGCCTGTTCCAAACGCAGTTTTGTCTAGAGATTAGTGTGTACCCATGACTCAGGATGGTACTTTTATTTCCAGCTTCTTAATAGATGACAATTATCAAATGCCGTCAGCTGTTTTCAATCAGCCAGTAAACACCATTATGATTCTCAACAGTGTACACCAAAGCCCTCTTTCACATTTGTCCCATCCGGATTATTTTTCTAAATGTTATCCTGTAGCTTTGTTTTAAGGCTCTCTCTGCTCTCCCATCTGGATTATTCCCGCTGTTAAACCTCTCACCTCTCAAGAGCCGGATGCCGCCGTCTGCCGCTCTGCGACCTCTGCAGTCACGTGCTTCCGCACGGGCTGCTCCACCTCGCCCTCTCCTGCCACCTCACGGCCGTCCCTTCGCACCTCCCAAAATCCCAGCGCCTGGTTGGGGTTTCTTTGTTTTAAATGTTCACATTATCATTTTGACTGAAGGAACAGAATTGGTTTTGGCTTAGCACAAAACAGGGCCATCTTCAATTCTCTGAAAGACTTGTGTACCAAAAGAAACATTTCAGTTCCACGTGAGGAAAAACTGTTGGGAAGTTTAGAATGGAAACTCTACAGAAATTTGATAACCACTTGTCAGATTTTATTAAAAAACAAACACGTAAATGCTAGTCAGCCTCCACGACCTTGAAATCTCTTCCAATCCTGAGTTTCCACAGTCTAGAGGTAACACAAAAGCCTGTTCATTCCAGATAATGAAGGAAGTGAATGACAGGTTCAACTTGTTTGTAGTTGGTAATTAGTCTAATATGGATACCTGGCCTGGCTGAGGACATAAGGCAAGCGTTCCATTTGCCTACCACCCTGGCATCTTAGAATATGGAAACAGCCATGTGCTAGCCGGGTGCTTTCAATGAGGCAGTTTGATTAATTTCCATTAAAAGTCAGTAGTTGTCATTTAAACTCCTAAATACCCAAATCTAAAGGATCCACACTTGTGTCTAAGACATGATTACACTGCTATGAAATCATTTAGCAGTCCTGCTGCGATAGCCAGGGCTCGGGCTTGTAATGAGAGCAAGGAAGGGAGGAGCTGGCAGGGTACTGGTGGGGTGGTACAGGGCACACTGCTTATATTCACAAGGCCATGGGGTCCAGGCGTACCGAAGAGCAGCTGGGGTGTCCTGACAAGACGTGATGTTCAGGGCCAGGCTCTGGGTGGAGAAGGTGTCCATGGGAGCCGGAAGCCACTTGCACTGGTGGTCACTGCAACAGGAGACCTAAACAGGAGAGTCACGAACAGGAATGGTTAGGATAGCTGGGAGGATGTGCCAAGAGATGGGACTGCTCTGCAGACAGACTGAAGGGAGAGAAGGGGCTGCTCTTGGCCAAGAACGCGTTTTCTACAATAACCAGGACAAATCGGGTCTGGTTATCACAGCCACAGATCGATAATAAAAGTTCACAAGATAAATAGCTGCGATCAAGAAATAAAACAGCAAGTTACTGAGACAGACAAGACAGCATGGAGACATAAAGCACGTAGGAAACGCTCCCCTGAACAGTCAGACCGGAGTCTGGGTGAGCAGGCCAGCCTCTGGGCTGTTCTCTGACTCCCAGTGGAGCTGGGGGAAGATGAAGGGACACATGGAACTGTGGATGGTAAGCTGTCCTCAAGTCAGAAAGCAATTCTGGTGAAGGGAGTGTTAACATACCCAGTTCCCAAAGGTTCAAATCTGTCCTGGCCCCAACTCAAGACTCCAGGGCCAGGCAGTGGGCAGACTACCAGCAGCTGACTACAGAGGGGAACTCGGAATGCACAGATTCCTGGGAGCTGGGACTCACCTAAAACCCAGCATCCAGGGAAGCTAAGTGGAGTTAGGTGGTAAGTAAGCACCTGAGGCAGGGGGATTCCAGAGCAGGAACAGCCCCAGGAACTCTTGTGTAATTACAGTTTGTCTTCTGCATTCTTTCATTGTCCCTCCAATGCCCTCTCTTCACTCACCGCCCCCCACTGCCTTTGGGGCCTCAGGACTCCCAAAGACACTCATTTAAACATTCCACCTGGGGATGCCTCCAGCCACCACCCTGGCCTTGATGTTGAGTTGCTCAGTTGTGTTCGACTCTTTGTGACCGCAGGGACTGTAGCCCACCAGGCTTCTCTGTCGGTGGGATTTCCCAGGCAAGAATACTGGAAGTGGGTTGCCATTTCCTTCTCTTAGGGATCGGAATCCCCCACCTAGGCATTCAACCCGAGTCTCCTGCATCGCCAGGTGGATTCTTTACCACCGAGCCACCAGGGAAGTCTCAACCTTAGGAGACTCCTAAATAAGCTGTTTCATCAACAGCCCCAGTTCCACAGTGAAATGATCCTCACCAGGTATTAGAAGCAAGTACAGAGTTCCATTACAGTCAAAGTGAAAGTCGCCCCGCCATGTCTGACTCTTTGCAACCCCACAGACTACAGTCCATGAAATTCTCCAGGCCAGAATACTGGAATGGGTAGCATTTCCCTTCTCCAAGGGATCTTCCCAACCCAGGGATGGATCCCAGGTCTCCCACATTGCAGGCAGATTCTTTACCAGCTGAGCTACCAGGGAAGCCCATTATAGTAATTCAAACTAAGCTGCAAATCACCACACTTAAATCTTTTAAAAGAGAGATTAAACTCAAAAGAAAATCAGAATGTAGGATAATGTGACCAAAAAAAGATGTCCAAGGATGAGGGAAATATTCTGCAGCCAGGATCCTTTCCTATTAAATAGGTACCCACAAATAATGCTACCTGTCCTGAGCAAAAATGGTTGCTCTGGGAGGGAAAATACAAAAGGAATATCTTTTTAATATGGATTCTTAAATTAATTTGTTAATTAATTTTAATAATTTTTTATTTTAAGTTACTTATTTAATTGTTCGATTTATTTTATAAATTTTAAACAAAATTATATATTTTTATAAAATAAAAATAGATTTATAACATGTCTATATATTTTTATTTAATATTGATTTAATTTTTAAATTAGCTTTTGTCCCATCAAAATTGCCTCTAACTGAATGAAACAAGAGCTGCTTACTTGTCACTCTGAGATAAACTTAGCCCCTGACCAACCAAGACCTGCCTCGTATATAATTAGAGATGAGCCTCGGTGTGGAGGAAATCCTGATCCCCACACAGGATGAACCCCTATTGTTTTCTGCACTCTCACCTCAAATATCTTGTCGTCACGCCTCTGCACCTTGATTGGCTGGGAATACGTGAGGTTGAGCAGCCCCTTGTCGGCCAGGAGTTCTATCTTCTGAGGCAGTGGTCCTTGAAAGATCAATTTCTCCCCATAAGCCAAGGCACGGGCCCCCAAGTGCAGCCTGTAGGCCACCGTCTGCTTATCTCGAGGGTGTATGCTACAGGACGCAGAACAGGGAGAGAATTTCAGGTTTGGGCTCAACAATAAGTCATATTTGAAAAAAAAAGGAACTCTTATACAAAGAACCCTTTAAGAAGGTGAGACTGAATCTAATAGCCAGTGATCTGTGGCTAGTCAGCCTAAGAGAAATGGTGAATTGTAACCACAGACCGGTCTTCTATGCGTCAACAACCCTGAAATAACTGATGGCTTGGAGGGAAGGAATAAGGGAAGAGGAGGAGGGGGAGACTTTGGAACTAACCAAGGAGAGCTCTCCTAAGACTGTTGCAAGCACTCAAAGTTCTCAAAGTGTTTCATCTGAATCAGTTTTTCATTACTTGGCCCCCTCCAGGTTTTATGTGTTCACTTAACAAACATTCATTCTTTCAAAAAACAAATATTCATTCAAGCTCCTGCTATCATCGGGACGCTCTGCATTGGGCTCCATGTCACACTGACATTCCCTGGTATCCTACAGCTAGTAGGCCGTAGTCATCGGGGCTGTTCACCAACATCCTGGTAGTCCTCCTCTGAGTCTGTGGTAGAATTCCACTTCCTGCTCTTACTAAAAATAGACATGGCCATGGGACTTGCAGTGGCCAGTGCAATGTGAGCAGAAGAGACTTGTGTTGCTTCAGGTGGAAGCATCCAGCTGCGAATAGGGGACCATCAGGCAGCTGTGGAAGCACAGATCCCCTGGAGCCTCTGGCACTCTGGATCTGTGAATGATGATGACAGCAAAACCCCTCAGTGGACCTTCTTTGGACATGGAGTGTCAACACAAAATAAGGTTCGGTGGCATCAAGGCCCAGGGGTGGGGAGGGGTTTTAGTTACTGTAGCACATCCAGGGTGTGAATGATGAATAAATCATGCTTCGAGGGCCCCTTCCTTAGACCCCCTCACAAGTGAATATCAAGAGAAGGCCACAGAGAACACATATTACTGTTCAAGCAAAGCCCGAGAAGCACTCACCTGCCAAAAGGTGAGTTCCTGTCACAGAGATCCACGGAGGCAGCCATGAAGGTGTTGGGCATCCTTTGGTTGGGGACATAGCCAAAGTCGGCTGTCTGATGCCAACGTATCTGGGGAAGTCCATCATCCAGGGCTTCATCAAACAAATAGGAAGATAACTAGAAAGCAGACACTGTGCATCAGAACTTCACTGCATCAGAAACCTACACTTCAGAAAAGCTAGAAAAACATTAAGAAAAAAATTTTGAAAAGAAACCTACACTGGAGTCTTTCACAAGCAGACCCTGCTTCTGCTTCACTCACTCGCCCACGGGCTGATCCAACACATTCTTACCGAGTCTCTCACCCTCCTGGCTGAACTGCTCATCCCACAAGCCGGGGTGGAACTCCACCCCTCCAGTCCCCTCCTCGCAGCAAGACCTGGAGTCTATTTCTCCTCACACTGAACCTGGGCTAAGCCTGTGATTTGCTCTGACAAACATCATGCAGCTGAGGTGATGGTGAGCAGCTACTGAGTCTCTGCCTCAGGAGTGCTTGCCTTCTGGTTTTGTCTTCTCAGAACCCTGAGATGGCCACAGAACAGCAGTGCCGCTACCCTGCTGAAGTAACGTGGAGACAGCGGCCTTGGGAACTGGAAGGTCATGAGGAGAGAGGCGGAGAGAGGCATTCATGCCCCAGCCTTCCCAGCTGAGGGGCCAGTCACGTGAATTCTGGATCCTTCAGTTCCAACTGCAGATACACGAGCAAGCCTGGCTAATGTCCCAGAGCAGAGCTGAGCCGCTCTGGGGGACCACCTCTCCCTGCCTGGCCAACCCATGGAATGAGGAGCAAACGCAGTGGCTGCTGTTGACAGCCCCAAAGTTCTGAGGTCATCTATTGCAAAGCGGTAGGTCACTGACCTACTGTACATCTGTGTACAACACAGGGCAAAGCTCTGTAGGGAAGTGGACAGGACCCTGCCCTTGTTGCTAAGTCATGTCCGACTCTGCAACCCCATGGACTGCAGCATGCCAGGCTCCTCTGTCCTCCACTATCTCCCAGAGTTTGGTCAAATTCATGTCCATTGAGTCAGTGATGCTTTCTAACTATCTCATCCTCTATCGCCCCCTTCTCCTTTTGCCTTCAATCTTTTCCAGCATCCGGGTCTTTTCCAAAGAGCCGGCTCTTCACATCAGGTGGCCAAAGTATTGGAGCTTCAGCTTCAGCATCTACCCTTGAGCACATAGCAGACTTCATCAAAGACCCCAGTCCTTCGCACGTTCCAGCAGCCATGCCCTGTTGCCAGTTGGTCGTGTAGTTTCTCCCACTGAAAGAAAGAGTACATTTTCCCCACCACTGATTCTTATTAAACTCTCCTATGCAAATTGGCCTTAACACATGAAGTGATAAAAGGTGGTGGAGCTTCGCAGTGAAATGTCACGAAAACTAGAGAGTGGCAATAAAAAGATCCACAGTAACCCTGCTGCTTCCCACACAACACCCAAGAGAGAAGGCTGCAAGTGGGGCCATGTGCGCCAATGGGCGCCATGATGCGGATCCCTGCAAGAACCCCGTGGAAGAGTCTAGGGGGACTTCCGGCCTGAAGGCTGAGGGAGAAATGCTACCAAGAGCCGCTCAAGCCGAGGAAGCTGTTTCAAAATGGCAGTTGGCTGAGCATTCCTGCATTCGTTCCCGACTTCGTCAGCTGTACTACCACAGACTGACCACATGGGGGCGCCCGCAGACTCTACACCCACAGGAAATTCCTGTGTTTTTTCCCTGAGATAAAGCAGGGAACTTGCACGGATTAGGAGAAACACTGCTGCTAAAGAAGGCATGTCACAGCCAAAGAATATAAAAAGTGGCTGCATTTGCAGGATTTTACAATAGCATCTGTGGCTTGTAGTCTGGTTCACTGTTCCTCCAAAATCCTTCTGAAAAGCATATACTCCCTCGAGACTCTGGTAGTCGTGTCATGAGAGCTGGACCATAAAGAAGGCTGGGTGCCAAAGAACTGATGCTTTTGAACTGTGGTGCCGGGGGAGACTCTTGAGAGCCCCTTAGACCGCAAGAAGATCAAACCAGTCAACCCTGAAGGAAATCAACCCTGAATAGTCTCTGGAAGGACTGATGCTAAAGCTGAAGCTCCAATCCTCTGGCCACCTGATGTGAAGAACTGACTCTTCAGAAAAGATCCTGATTGAGGGTAGGAGGAGAAGAGAGCGACAGAGGATGAGATGGCTGGATGGCATAACTGACTCAATGGACCTGAATTTAAGCAAACTCCAGGAGATAGTGGAGGACAGGGGAGCCTGGCGTGCTGCAGTCCATGGGGTCACGAAGAGTTGGACACAAGTTAGCAACTGAACAACAACAATAATAGGGTGTCCAGTCCTGAACTCCGGCTCCTCTCTCTCCCCAGGCCTTGGACCACACATCAGTATTAAACTCGCAGACACGTGGTGTAGCCCTGCCCTCCCCACAGAGCTCGCGTGCCCCCTCTAACTGTGCGCTCCAGTTACTGCCACCATGGTTTCACATGCAGCCCTTTCATCAAGCCAATTCGTCTTCCTTTACAGACCACCTGTCCCTCCAGATTTTCCGACTTCTCTCATTAATAATAATAAACACGGGCATTTTCTCACTTGTGCCAAGCTTTACATGGACTAGCTCATTTAATACTTAAAATAACAAAGAGGTTCGATGTCTTACTCCGAATCACACAGCTAAGGGAAGTGCCAGAGCTGAGATTCAAATCCCCAGACTACGCTTAGAACCATTAAACTGTTGTATCTGACAGTTCCCTTTGAAGTTAAACATTTGTAGTCCCAGTTTTTCACAAGCAACCAACATACTGTTGATGATGATAAAGCTGGCACCCGAGGCTAAGGCACTTCTGCTAAACCAGGGCTTCAGGACAAGGAGCAGGTCTCTCTGCTTCCTGCTGTATATTTCTAGTAGCTCACACAGTTTGCGGCATATAGTAGACACTTAAACGTATTTTTGGCCTGAACTGATTGAAGTCACATTCCAACCACCATGTACACAGGCTGAGAGGCAAAAAAAGTACCTCCAAGCACCAAATGTAGTTTCTACCAACAGTAATACAGAAGTGGTGACAGGCGTTGCTATTTTGAAAATAATGAGCAGATTATTCTTGTTCAAAGTCAAAACAAATGTAAGAAAGGAGAAAGGAAATGATTGTAAAGTAATTATAAGTGGAAATCAGGTCTATAAAAATCTTTTACCCAAAAGAAGGCCTGTGAACTCGGGCAGCGTAGAGGAACGGGGTGGGGGAGGCCAGCGGGGATGGTGAGAGGGAAGCATCTGTGGGCTACCAGAGGCAGACGCCTACAGACAGGGGTGTCCAACTCAAATACTAACGCCTGTTCCGCGCCTATGCTGGGAGGTGGGCCTCGTTTTTGTCACACCTCACTTGTTGAATTCCTATGTTCCAGAGAAGTCAGAACTACTGCCCCGCTAGGGCGTCTAGGTCCTGGAGGGGTCGTGTGAACAGGCTAGGTGAGGTACTCAAGAACTTGGTTTTGTGCGTGCTAAGATGCTTCTGTCGTGTCTGACTCTTTGCAACCCCATGGACTGTAGCCCACCAAGCTCCTCTCTCCATGGGATTTCCCAGGTAAGAATACTAGAGTGGGTAGCCATTTCCTTCTCCAGGGGATCTTCCGGACCCAACCAACATCTCCTGCATCGCAGGCAGATTCTTTACCACTGAGCTACCTGGGAAGCCCAAATACTGGTTACTTATTAATTATTTTAAGATTTAATTGTCCTGTCAGTGAGCTGAGATGAATTAAGCTACGTTCAGTTTTTGACCCGCAGGCAGGCGATGAGGGCAAAAAAAAAGGGAACATGGATTCCAGGGAAGAGGTCTCAGCAGCACCTCCCCCACCAAAGCCCACAAACCCTCTTCCTCTCAGCACCTACCTGGACAAATCCAAATGGGAAGAGGCGCTCTGTCTGCCCCTGGGAGCCATCGTGGAAGGTCTGGCGCCAGTCGTCAATGAGCAGAGGGAATGTACAATTGTACAAGTCCCTGTTAAAGTTTACATTGGACTCCCCTGAAAACAGTCCAAACTGTGAGAGGGAGTTGGGGTAGATGCAAGATGCCCCCACACTGCTCCCAAGCCTCTATCCTGAGGTCCCCCTGGACTGGCCTTGGGCTTGCTCTGGCCAATGGGCCATCAGCAAACATGATTGCAAGAGCAAATGGGCTCTGGAGTTTGTTCTCTCCTGATACACTTGGAAGCCTGACACTGCCATGTAAATGATAAATAAGACTGAACTAGCTTGCTGAAGATCTTCCGTGGTGGCTCAGTCAGTTAAGAATCCACCTGCAATGCAGGAGACCAGGGTTCAATCCCTGGGTCGGGAAGATGCCCTGGAGGAGGAAATGGCAACCCACTCCAGTATTCTTGCCTGGAGAATCCCATGGACAGAGGAGGCTGGTGAGCAACATGGAGTCACAAGGAGCCAGATACAACTGAGCAATAAACCATTACTATCACAGCTTGTTGAAGGACAAGAGGCCACATGAGAACCAGGAGCCCCAGTCAACAGACATGAGGTAGAGGCCATCCTAGGCCATCCAGCCACCAGACAACCTGCCAGGCTGCCAAACACACATAGGAGATCCCAGCAGAAATGAGCCAAAGCAGCCCCGACAGAAACACTACCCTGCTAACTCAAAGAATAGGGAGGCAAATAAAATTACAATGGTTTGCAGTCACTAGGTTCCAGGGTGGTTTGTTATGTGGCAACAGCTAACTGATTCGATGGAAAACCAGGAAACTGAACACTCACCCTGGTACCATATCACCCCCTTCAGTGTCATGTTACGGAGTGGATGGATCATGGCATTCCAGAGAACAGAGTGTGCACTCGGACCAAACTGAAGGTCAGATGGCATGGACCTAAAATGAGGAAGACACACAAGTGTCAGGAGAGAACCAGTGACTGATCCCATGACAATCCCTGAGCTAGGTATCTATCCAGCTTCACTTGGGGCAAACCCCTGATGAAAGCAGCTCAGAGTTCAAGTCAACCACTCTGTTTCCATGAAAACATGTGTCAGTCGGCTCTCTGGGAGTTCAGTGGCACCATCCCCGTTTCCATCCAGGGATTGAGACCAGGGTCGGGGGCGGGGGGCAGAGCAGGCAGGTGTTAATGAGTCTATCACACAGGCAAGAAGTTTGCTTAACCAGCTCTCACTGAATGGACACTGAGGTTAAGTTCTTTGCTTTTATAAGCAATGCCATGATTACCTTCCTGAGAGCTGAATCATTACATACCGTCTTCATTATTTCCTTAAGCTAAATTCCCAGAAATGAGATGGCCAGGTCAGAAGGCACTTTTTCTGATGACTTGGAACATGGCCCTAAGTTGTCTCTATGGAATTCTTGTGTGAATTTCTCTTGGAGCGGTGGCATGTGAGAACCCCCATGGCCCCTTGGTATTGTCCCTGCCGTGCCCCCTGAGGTCTGGGAAGCCTGGCTTTAGATTCTTCCACCTCTACTGAGAGTAATTTTTCTGTTCAAAAGCAGGATGACTTTACTCCCCAGCAGGCAGGCCTTTAACCAAGACACACCAGGAGCTCAAATGCATGTTCTTGCCAGAACTGATGAGACAAGTTCTGTGAAACCAGCTCACGTACTGTCTATCTCTATGGCAACATTAGCGTAAAGAAGTTACCAACGAGCCTCTTCTCTCCCTCTGCCCCGACCCACTCTTCTTCCTGATCCAGCTTTTCCTGAGTGTGCTTTCACCATCAGTCTTCCAATACCTTTTTCTGATGACATGGATACCGTGTTCTTCCAAACTGTTAGACTGTGTTTATTCTCACAGCGGTTAAGAGCACTGACACCAGACTCCATCACTTACTAGTCGTGTTCCCAAGCAAGTCACCAAACCTCTCTCCCAATTAGTCCCTTTATCCTCATGTGTTAATAGTACCTACACTTCAAGAGAGTGTTGCATTAAATGAGTTAATACTATATAAAGTGCTTATGACAGTATCTGGCATTTAGAAAGCTTCTATTAAGTATTAACTTATCCCTATTGATAGTTAGGGAGTTTGGGATGGACGTATACACACTGCTGTATTTAAAATGGATAATCAGTACAGCACAGCACAAGGAACTCGGCTCAATGTTATGAAGCAGCCTGGACAGCGGGGGAGTTTGGGGGAGAACAGATACATGTATACTGAGTCCCTTTCCTATCTACCTAAAGCCATCACAATAGTATCTGTTAACTGGCTATATCCCAATACAAAAAGTTAAAAATATCTGATTAAAGAAAGAAATTAAAAAAACAACTTAAAAAAATTAGCTATCCCTATTATTAAGGAAAAGGGTCATAATTACTTCTTGACATATTTTCAAATGACTCTGGTGGTGATGACAGTGAAAATAACACCTGAATAAGTCACATACATTTAACACATATCTGTACATTCAGCTCATATTTGACTTCCCCAAGGAGACCGTGATCCTTCTCTCTCACAGAATTTCCTGGCAGGCTTTTTCCTGGACCGGAGGACGCTTTCTTACCCTGACCTCGGGACCCCACAGGCTTCAAGGGACCTTCTAGACGACCAGGCTTCAATGGGTGTCCCGTTCCACGAGGAGGAGAGCAGCCCCACGGGATACCGCAGGGCGTCATATAGGAAACGCCCAAAGAGCCAGCACACTGCTGACATGTACGTGAAGTTGCCGTGGCCTAAGATTTCTGTTCAGAGAAACAGACAGAGACAGTCAGGGGAAACGTAGGTGGACACCGCCTGGAGCTCCTGCGTGGGCCTAGGTGAGAAGCTCGGGTGTGGGTCAGGCGTTGCATTCCTTTCTGAGACTTTCCAAGGGCAGGAGAAGACGGAGAGGCTGCTGGCTGGCTAGCAGAAAGCCAAAGGCCCTCTGGCCAGGCAAGGAGGCGTCCCCGTCACGTGCAGGGCCCTGAGAACCTAGGAATATTGATACCCCTCTGCAACACGTGAGGGGCAGAAAGGCTGCTGGCCCCATTCCACCCCCACCTACACTCTTACCCAGCATCCATCCCCACTTAGCTCTGTGGAAGGGGACAAACAAGCACAGAGAATGTCCAGGAGAAAGGTATATTTTTTCTGGGTGCTTCATATCCAAGCTTATAGTCATGGTAATGAAGACAAGAACAAACAAGTGATGGGGAGTTTGGCCGAAAGGGAAAGCAACAGAAACCAAAACCAGCGTTTCAGAATTCAGCACCATTGAGCTCATTCATTCATATAGCCCAGGAACCAACACAGACCAGAAATGGGTGATTTCCACATCAGAAGAAGGCTGCTGAACAGGGGAACAGGCACACACACAACTGGTGGGATCAACCCAACCCAACAGCTGTGAAAGAACCACGAGGTGTAAGTCACTGCCTTGGCTCATGAAAGATCCAAACAACGCATTTCTGGCTCTCAAAACATGGAAAGTGTGATAGGAGGAGTTAAAAACCAGTTTCAAATCAATTAAAATGGATTGAGTACCTACCAGGTGCCAGGGACTTCTAGATGATTGTGATATATAAATGAAAAGGAAAAGGAAAGACATGGAACCTCTCTTCAGAGGTCTTCTATCCTACAGAATAAGACAAATATTCAGCAGAGTCAAATATATGGCAAAATATGGTTTAGTGCTTGAAGAAGTACAAAAGTGGGTTAAGGAGTTCTAACAGCAAAGTAAAGAATAGCAAATGAAAGGCAGATCGGAACACGCCCAGGAAAGGCGGACTTGTTCCCTGTGCTCTGGTCCTGCTCTGTGCCTGGGCTTTCCCTCACCTCGCTAAACCATTAGGATTTATTTCTGTATGCTCGGCGTCTGGGACCCAGTGTGGAGTCAGTGAATGTTTGTGGGCTGGTGTTGGGTGGCAGTGGTGGCTCGAATAAGGGTGGATTCACTGATGGGGAGGCAGAGGGAGAAGGTAATTAAGAGGGAAGGGAGGGAGGTGGGGAGACCTTGGGAGACAGGAGTGCAGTAAGCAGAGCTGGCATTCTGGGCAGAAGAAACAATACATACAGAGACATGCAGAACTGGAAAGCTTCTCGAGTATTTGAGTAGAGTATCAGTTACAGAAGGAGAATAGTTGGAGGGGAGGTTGGAGTAAAGAAAGTGGAAAGCCACTTGGAAAGGCGTGGGAATGAGCATGTGTGGTGGGGAGTAAAGGTGTCTCCAGTCTAAGGCCTGGACCCTGTGAGTGAACCGTATGTGGCTAAAGGGACATCACAGATGTTTCGAGAGTAAGGACCTGAAGCGGGGGCAACTGTCCTGAATCATCCAGAGAGGTCCAAGCTCAATATAAGAGTCTTTAAAATCAGAGACCCTGGGGACTTCCCTGGTGGTCCAGTGGTTGAGAATCTACCTTGCAACGCAGGGGACGCGGGTTCGATCCCTGGGTTGGGGAACTGAGATCCCACATGCCACAGAGCAACTAATCCCATGAGCCAAAGTAGAGAAGCCTGTGTGCTGCAGTGAATACCCAGCATAGGCAAAAAAAAAAAAAAAAAGAAAATCAGAGACCTTTCCCAACCGTAGTCAGAGACATGAGGACAGTAGAAGAGGCAGGAGAGACTTGAAATATGAGAGGGTCTTGACCTACCAGGCTCTTCTCCAGACACCTGGGTGGCCTCACCTCTGTCAAGTTATTATGGAAATGCTGCCTTTCTCAGGCGGGACCTCCATGGCCACTCTTTCAGAGAGAAACCACCAGCCCACCCCAGCCCCAGCAGTACTGCCCCTGCACTGGATAAGTATTTTATGTAACTTATTTCTCAGCACATACCACCATCTAACCTATCCCTTGATGTTCAAACATTCGAGTCTCTGAGTTCAGAGACTGAAAGGGAACCGATAGCAAGGTATAATACCTTATCCGAATCTAATTGATTCCTGAGTTTTGGAGGACATGCAGGAAGAGTTCCTAGACCAAAGGATTCATTAAAAAATGTTTACCCAAATCTTTTCAGTTCCTGAGTTCTTAAAGGGAAAGTTCAGACAGTGTGATACTGAATAGTACAATACTTCATTTACAACTTACTAATTTTCTTATTCATTTTCTGTACTCTCCCACTAGACTGTAAGCTCCATCCAGGAGACCAGGCGTGCCTGCCTGCTTTATTCTCTGCCATCACCCCCAGCACTTAGGATAGCGCTGAGCACGCAAAAGGCACCCAGATATTTGCTGAATGAATTAATACTTGAAAATGTAGGAGTAACTGAGGTTACCAAGGTAAAGCACATACAGGTGAAAAAAGGGACTATAAACAGCACAAGGGACCTCCCTTCGGGAGGAAGGGATTGGAGAAAGCAAAGAAACAGGCACGGTGCAGAGAGGGAGCATGAGGGAGAGGAAGCACCTCACAAGCTCAGAGGGAGGTGCAGCTTCTAGGAGCAGCGGGCAGCAGAGCCGATGCCACGGGCTGTCCAGAGCACATCACAGAAGAACAGGAGAAACCTTGGGGGAACCAGTTGTTGACCTGGACACAGCAGCCAGATCATAAAGGGTTAAAGAGTGGGAACAACAGAGGACAAGATGGTTGGATGGCATCACAAACTCAATGAACATAAGTCTGAGCAAACTCTGGGAGATGGTGAAGGGCAGGGAAACCAGGCATGCTGCAGTCCATAGGGACGTAGAGTCAGACACGACTTAGAGAATGAATAACAAAGAGTGCACACGCAGGAAGGCAGTGAAAAGAATGGAAAGATGTTCTAAGAAGGTTTAACAAAGCAAAGGAGACAGGAGCGGTTCCAGGAGAAAGGGGTGTGTTTTGCTCAGCTTCGCCTGGTCTCCTTAAAGATAAGTGACGCCCTGAGGGTGGGGGACTGGGTCCTGATCACAGGTGCACCCTTGGGACCTAGAACAGAGACCGGTGCAGAGCAGCCTGGAGTAAAGGTTCCCTGCAGGCTGGACGGTGGGGTAAAAGGCTAAGAGGAAGCCCTGGAGAAGGTAAGAGCCTGCATCAGAGGCAGCCTTGAGGGAAACAGTCAGCTGTGTTCAGACACAGAAATGGAGGAAGAAAGAAGAAAGGAGGACGTCAGGTGCTGAGGAGATGCTGGCGGAGTTTGTGCCAAGTGGCTTCCGTGAGGCCAGTGAAGCTGGAGGAAGCACCATCTGCTCAGAGCAAGGGGGCAAGATTCACCGTGGAGTCCTGGGAAGGAACGCATGAAACGAATACCATCAGGAAGTGGGTGGTGGTGGTTCGGTCGCTCAGTCGTGTCTGACTCTTGTGACCCCATGGACTGTAGCCCATCAGGCTCCTCTGTCCATGGAGTTTCCCAGCTAAGAATACTGGAGTGGGTTGTCATTTTCTACTCCAGGGGATCTTCCTGTCCCAGGGATCGAACCTGACTCTCCTACATTGCAAGCAGATTCTTTACCACTGAGCCACAAGGAGCTGGGGGCACTGGGGCGGGAGGGGGTGGGTGTCAATAAGAAGTGAGTAAAAGGATGGGCAAATTCTGACAGACACAACAGAACCCAATTCAGGCTCCCAGATGCCACAGAGGGCGCCACCACTCACACAGGAGCTGGCATGTGCTCCAGCCGTCACTTACTCGAGGTGGGCTTAGACCATCGCAGGTCAACCTTGGCGAGGTCCTCCAGCTCCTGCTGAGCCTGGGTGGAAGACACGGAGAGGATGCGGACAGACTGATAGGCAGCCGTGTTCGACAGCTCGGCTGTGGCATTAAATACCTGGAAAAGAAGCGGGGACGTCATTTCTTACACCAACCAAGTGGATGGTTGATGCTGCTGCTGCCCCCTCATAAATGCTACCGCACCCACCCATCCCCACCCCTGCCTTCAGCTCCTTCTGCACCTTCAGGATAGAGAAACTGAATGCATAATCGAAACCAATGATGGGCTGGTCGAGATCACCTGGATCCACTTTGACCCACAGACACTATGATAAGTCATATCCTCAAAGAAGGTGCGAACACCATGACATCTGCAATCTCAAGGACAAGTCTGTATTGGATAAGAGGAGCTGTGGATGAGTTTGGGCTAAAAAACGTCGACACCTTGAAAGTAAAATACTTCTATTCAGGAAAAGTATCCACTAAAGCCATGGCATTATCTTCTTTGAAAAAAATAAATGAAGCCAAAAAGGCCATGGAGAGGTAGGTTTATGTAATCCATACCCCATAAGGGATGTGTATTAAAAAGAAACACAATTGAGAAACGATTTTTGAAAGCCTGAAACATCCTGAAATCAGCCTCAATACACTTATCTTCTCATCTCAGTCCTAGAAAATTGCCCAAGAAAAGCACAGCAGGCCCAGAAGTTTGGAAGGTGGGGTTCAGGATGATTGCTGAGATCAGTCCCAAGAAACCAGACAAAGAGAAGGGTCTATCCAAAGGCACATCACTTTTTCCCAAACAACTGGATGAAACCTCACCAGCTGCCAAGAATGTGACAGGACTGGCTTAGGGTTCCTCTGGACATGAATCTGTGTGCTACACCTAAGGGTTTCCTTGTAAACCTATCAAGCGTCTTTCCTCTCAGGGCTCACACTTAAGTGCTATTTCCTTCAATCCTGATCGTTGAGTAGGCATGTTTTTGTTTGTTTTTTTTTTAAATGTGGTGGAAGAGGATGAATTGAGAGAGTAGCATTTACACTACCATGTGTAAAATAGGTACCTGGTGGGAAGCTGCTGTCCGGCACGGGGAGCCTAGCTCGGAGTTCTGTGATGACCTAGATGGGTGGATGGCAGGGGCAGCCTCAAAAGGGAGGGGATGTAAGTATACTTACAGGCGATTCTCCTTGTGCAACAGCAGACACACATTTAAAGCAATTATCCTCTAATTGAAAAAAAATTTTTTAATAAAAAAGAATGTGTCATAAAAATATTGTTTTGCTTTTTAATGAGTGTTTGTTTTTACTAGTCTCCTCTCCGCCCCTCTGGACAGTCTGGTGGTCCCAAAACAAAGGCCTAATAGGAGCCTCAAGAAGGCCAGTTATCATTGGCCTCAGGGAACCAGAGCTCCAGCTGAGACAAGACCGTGGAGGCCGCGGGAGGCCAGGCGGCTCTCCTTTGGCCGCTGGCCACGGGGTGTGCAGCTGGCTCGCCTTCCCTCCCACCCACCGCAGAGAATACAGCTGGCCCTGCAGCCCAGCGGGCAGGAGCAGCCGCAGTGCCCCCACAGAGCATGTCATTGAGATGCGCTGCCCCTGGAATCGCCTTTTGACTTGCCACGGAGCCTGCTGTGGCCAATAAGCCGGCCAGATGCAAAGGCAATGACCCTTTGGTCCCGGTGGGAGCCGCAGCTTGTAGCGCTCCCTGGGTTGCGTGGCTCTGGGCTGCCGGGGTTACTGGGCTTCCGCACATGGTCTCAGGAAAATTCCACAGGAAGTCTAGGCTTGCTCGTTCTGGATCTTGCCTGGCAAGTTTCATGCAGAATAAACACTGAAGACGAAGAACAGGCTAATGCACTCAGTATATTTTGGCAGGGAAGTTATTTTTCAGCGGCAAGTACCTGTAAAAAGTCACCTCCCTTGAAATTCAGTTCAGCACCGAGCGCTAAGGATCCTATGCTGCTTCCATGGAAACGGAGGATGAAACTGCTTTCACTCCCTCCACCCACACCAGCTTCCGCACCGACTGGGAACTTCGGGGCCAGCTTGGGAGGTGGCGCGGCGACCCTTTGCTAACACTCCAGAGAATGGCAAGGCCAGCTGAACTGGGGGAGGGGGTGGCATCGTCCTCTATTGTTACCAGCACACACGGAACTGAATCCAAAGCACTGGCTGGAAAACTTCCATTTTCAAACTCACATGTGTGCAGTATTTCAAGCCAAAACTCAAAAGCCACAGAAAGTGTTAGCAAAAAATGGGGGTGGGGAGAATTCTTGCTGGACCTGATGACAATTACTTCTGAAATGGGTATCCTCTCCCAGGATCACCAGCCTTTTAAAAAAAAGAAAAAGAAAAAAACTTTGTATTTTGTATTGGGGTATAGCTGATTAAGGAACAATGTTGTGACAGCTTCAGACCAACGGAGCGAAGGGACTCAGCCATGCATATACATGTATCCATTCTCCCCCAGACTCCTCTCCCATCCAGGCAGCCTCCTAACACTGAGCAGAGTTCCCTGTGCTTACAGTAGGTCTCACCAAGCCATCTTTTTGATGGAAGCATTTCCTTGGGGATATTGGCAGCAAACTTAGGAATAAAGAGATTTCAGGAAGATTTTCATTTAAATGACACTTGGTTTCCCTGCTGATGAAAGGGGAAGCCTTCCTCCATCTGCTGAGATCAAATTTCATCTCATCAAACGCCTCGGTGTAATTATTTTCCTACCAAGTACTGAAATGAGGATGTAAATGAAGACCAAGGTATTTGAAGTCATTAGGGCTGCAGCGATGGGGAGAGCCCTCCACCTCTCTGGGGACCCACGGTTCACCATCAAAGCAGCTGCTCGCCAGTGTTCATTTTGTAACCTTTACACCACATTCTTGAATTAATGAAGAAACGTCAAGAATCTATTTCCTCAGAGAGTCGTGGCATGGGGTCTGCACAGGGGAGCAAGGCACATGTGTGTGTGTGTGGGTGTGTGGTGTGTGCTCAGTCGCTCGGTTGTGTCCGAAGGGCAGTGATGGACTGTGTAATTATCGTGTATAATAACAGTTTACAAAATAATACCAGCTTGTGAAGTGAGGGTATCAGTCACTCAGTCATGTCTAACTCTTTGCGGCCCCGTGGACTGGTACCCACACTAGGTTCCCCTGTCCCTGGGGTTTCCTAGGTAGGAACACTGGAGTGGGTTGCTCCCTTCTCCAGGAGATCTTTCCGACTTAGGGACTGAATCCGTGTCTCCTACATTGGCAGGTGGGTTCTTTACCATGGAGCTGCCAGGGAAGCGCCACCTTACCTTCTACCACATTACAACACGGCAGATTTAAAGATGAGAGAATAACTATAAATAAGGCAGTCATCATGCCTCCTGGGAATCTTTTATTGTACTGTGGCACCAGCCCTTCTTTTCTGGATTTTAATTTCCCAATTTGTAAAGCAGGAATGTGGGGACTGCTGAGATACGGAAAACTGGGTTTCCCATCGAACACTGGCCATCTTCTTCTGAGCCTAACTAGAAATAGCCAAGTCTTAAGATGTACCCTGACTTAGAAGGTGACAGATGAGCATTTAGACTTTCCTCCATTTATAAACATCTCACTCGGTGTTATAAATAACACTTGATTTTAAAATTCCACTTTACCCTAACAACAAGATGGGCACACAATCTGCCATTTCCCTCATTTGACTGTGAAGAGTGGTTGGTTATACTGGAAATTTTGTCTCCCCAGAAATGTCACATGGAGGGAGAGAAGGGGAAAGAGGGAGGCACTGTGTGTGTGTGTGTTTGTGTGTGTGTGTGTGTGTGTGTGTGTTGGGAGTCTTCAGGGGAAGGGAGGAAAATGAATAAAGGAGGAGTCATGTCAAGCATCTTTATGATCCAAAAACAAAGTTATACAGAGTGTTAAGAGACTAGAAAATTTGGCTTTTTGTACTGTCAGCACCTAAAATGCTGTCTTGCAGACTAAGCGCATGATTTTAAAACAAACAAAATTAACACTTGGCTTTTTCAGATGGAATATTTTTTCTATTTTCCTGTATCTCAGAGCTTGTAGCCTTAGTTTGATATAGAAGATGCTTAAGAGTAAATTCCAGGCAGAAAAAATGTGTTCAGTCTTAACAATTAAACTGTGACTTAGCTTGACAGAAAATGGGATGAGATCCCCTGGCACAGAGTACAGTTGAGAACCTGACTGTGCAGATACAAACAGATCTGGTCCATGCCTCTCTGTGCAAACAGGGAACTGCAATTAAAGCATTAAGGAAAATACTGTTTTCCTTAATGAGTTAACAGCAATCCCACTTCTATATAAAACCATGCTTTCTATCAAGAGATGAAACTTTCATTTTGCTTCTATTCACTGATGTTAAAATGGAGCCCAGTTAAGTCCAATTTAATAAACATTTAAATTAAAAAGGTTTCCATATATTTAAGCAGGGTACAAAGCAAAACTAAGTAAAATATTGGTTAGGAAGACATAAATGCAAGAATTTAGATTTTTAAATTAGAAAACTAATAATGAAAGGAAATAGATATGTCCAAAGTAGAATATTTTTAAAAGCATTAATTATTAACTGGTTTTTTTAAAGAAAGAAGCCAGAAGGGGCAGAAGCTACAGAAGCAAAACAAGAGATCTTAAATATGTGTAAGGGCTCAATTTTGCACATTTTTTTAAAAGACTAATTGAGATCATGGTCTAGTTGTAGAGTTTTTTTAAAAGTCAAACTTAACTATCCCTCAAAAATGAAGAAGTAGATGATGAAAAAAAGGCAAGAAAATAAAAATCAACTTGAGGAACTGAGTTTTAGAGAAAGAGCTACTAGGGAAGATAATAATCTTTTCAAGATCTTAACCTATTAATAGAAACAAATATAAGTACATATCAAAGTATAAACTTATTAGTTCTGATCCCTAATGCAAATTAAACTGTTTATTCCTAAGATTCTTATTTATATAATGTGCCTCTTTATTGTAAATTGAGCCTTTGATATATATTTAAGGTATCAGTTAAGTGAATATCAGTTTCTTGTTTTTATAACTTTGTCTTAAAAATTACAATTATTTCATGCTCATTATAGAAAAATCAGATAATAAAGACAAGCAAAGAAAATCAACCCTAATTTCAAATGTGTCAAAGGACTTAATTCACATGAATTTCTCTGGAGGTCTGAAAGTGAGTAAAAAAAATATTTTGTAATCTCTCAGCAGTGTTTTAAGCTGATAAACTTTAAATATAACTATGAACTTGCTACTGTCCAGCTCTGATGCTAATATAAATGAAACAGCAATGGTTTCCCTTACTTTTATTTTTAAATCAGAGAGCTTGCACTAAACAAAGGAAGCACAATTCTGAGGCCCAAAAGCAAAAACCCCATACCACTCTCTCCAGAAATCCACTCCCTTTATTCTAGACTGTTTTTGTGTTCAATCAGAAAGCAGAGTTGTTTCCAGAAAGAAATCTCAGAGCCCCACGGCTTCTGTTCTATCACTCTTGTCTTGCTGGAGTACCAGTAAACTATAAAGAAGCTTGCCTCCTTGATGACTTTTTCAATGTCCTTTTCTTTAAAAATTTTTCTAATTTATGTTTGGCTGCACTGGGTCTTCACTGCTGTGCACGGGCTTTCTCTAGCTGTGGAGAGCAGGGACTCTCTCTAGTAGCGTGTATGTGGTGTGTGGGCTCATCACTGTGGTGGCTTCTCTTGAGAATGGGCTTCAGGGCAAGTGGCTAAAGTCAGTTGAGGCTCTTGGGACCTAGAGTACAAGCTCAATTGTTGTGGCTCACGGGCTTAGCTGCTCCACAGCATGTGGGATCTTCCCAGACCAGGGATCGAACTCGTGGCCCCTGCATTGGCTGGCAGATCCTCAACCACTGGACCACCAGGGAAGCCCTTTTGATGTCCTCTTTATCCTGCTTCACTTAAGAGACTCACTCATTATGTGTCAGACTCACTCACTGCTCTAATAGCAATGGAGGTAGGAACACTTCAAGTTGAGTTCCCTCACTGACAACATTTCAACAGGCTGGCATTCCCCTGTTTGCACTTGATTTTCTGTTTACTGAGTATGCCCATCCCTACCTGGGAGCCCCTACAGTGCTCTTCCTCCTGACCTTCTATCAGGCTTAAACAGAGCCTAGTGAAACCTCTCTATAGCTACAATAAGGGAGAAAAAAAACGCTAGTTTTCAAAATTTAAGAAAAAATTAATCTACAAGGCCAAGACTAAAACAGAGAAAAATTGACACTAACAAAAGAAATTCTTGGAGGAGACTTACATGTCCCAACTTTGAAACTTACTACAAAGCTACAGTAATTCAACCAGTATGGTACTGCCATAAGGAGAGATATATAGACCAATGGAATAGACTAAAAAGCCAAGAAATAAATCCTCATATATATAGCCAAATGAATTTCTGAAAAAAGTGCCAAAACCATTCAGTAGGGGAAAAACCGTCTTTTCAACAATTGGTGCTGGGAGAACTGGATATCCACTAGCAAAAGAATGAAGTTAGACCCTCACCTTATACTATATATAAAAAAGTGATCAAAAAGACTCAAAGACCTAAACTTTACAGTTAAAACTAAAATATTCTCAGAAGAAACACTGGAAAAATCTTCATGTCACTTGACTTGGCAACAGTATCAAGAAGATGATACCAAAAGCATAAGCAACAACAAAAGAAAACACAGATAAACTGAACTTCATAAAAATTGAGAACTTTTATGTATCAAAGGACACCCTCAAAAAATGAAATGACAAACCAGAGAATGAGACAAAATATTTACAAATCATGCACCTGACAAGCAAGTAATACCTAGAAGATATAAATAATTGTTACAATTTAACAAAAAGCAACCCAATTCAAAAATGGGCAAAAGGGCTAAATAAACATTTTTCCAAATAAGACATACAAATGGCTAATAAGTACATGAAGTAATACTCAACATCACTAGTTGTTAGAGAAACACAAATCAAAACCATATTAGGATACCACTTCTTGCCTACTAATGTGGCTATAATCAGAATGGAACCTAATACCTGTCAGTGAGGATGCAGTGCAATTAAAACCTTTGTGTATTGCTAGTAGGAATGTAAAATGGTACAGCCACTGTGGAAAATGGTTCGACAGGTCCTCAAAAGTTAAATATAGAACTAACCCAGCAATTCCACTCATAGGCATATATCCAAAAGAACTGAAAGCAGGAACTGAAACAGATTATCTGTAAATCAATGTTCATAGCATTGATTTAATATTGCTATGAACATTGCTCACAATAGCCAAAAGGTGGAAACTACCCAGGTGTTCATCCACAGGTGAATGGATAAACAAAATGTGGTCTATACAATGGAATACAATTCAGCCATTAAAAGGGACAAAAGTTTGATATATACTACATGCATGGACCTTGAAAGCATGATCCTTAGAAAGATAAGTCAGAGACAGAAGAATAACTATTGTACGATTCCACTTCTAGGAGGTACCGAGAAGAGGCAAATTCAGAGAGGGAAAGCAAGATAGAGGTTACCAGTGGCAGGAGGAAGGAGAAAGGGGGATTTATTGTTTAATGGGTACAAAGTAAACGTTAGAGATGATGATAAAGTTCTGGGGACAGATAGTGGTGACTGTGTACACAAAGCATTGTGAATATATTTAATGCTGCTGAACTGTACACTTACCAACAGTTAAAATGATAAACATTATGTTATATTCATTTTAACCACAGTTTTTAAAAGCATGTTTTAAAAACAAAGTTTCATAAACACCAAGTGATTTGCTCCAAGCCATACAACTAGTAAGAGGCAAAGCCAACATTCAGTCTCAATTTTTAAATCTCCATGGCAACAAAAGACAGCGTGTGTTAGCCGCTCAGCATCAAAACAAAATCTAATTGTTTTGCTCTCGTAGGCTGTCTCCAGAAGCTCATCTTCTAAGGCCATTCAAAAAGGAGAGTAACCTACATGGCCCTCAATGTGCTATTAAATCTCTGTTACCATCAGATACTGTCTAGCTTCTGCCTTTAGCCCAGGAAGGTGAGAAAGGAGCGCCCCTCACACTGACAGCATACTGGCCGTGACTAACAAAGCCAGATCTGGGGTCACATTCACATCCTGGCTCCACAGTTATGCTGTGACCTTAGGCAGGAGCCTAACCTCAGTTGGACCAGTGTCCTCATCTGTGAGATATGCATGTCTTATAAGTATTCACCCTATGAAGTTGTTAAACTGAATTAATTAGCACATGCAGAGAAAGCACTTAGAACAGATCTCGGCTTCTACCTCCTTCTCCTCCTCGCCCCTTTCCTCTTCCATCTTTTTCTTCTTCATCATCAACATTATTATCACTGAGACTTTGCAAATTACCTGTGAAACTGTCATCTTCATGTTACTTTGCCCACTGCAAAGCCAGACGTCTCCAAACAAGACATCATGAACTCTCTGAGTGAAGTTTATCCTCCCAAGAGTCTGCTGTGCCATCATTTCATAAGGTCCACCAGGCTTCATAGGATCCAGTACCACCGTCCAGGTGTTAGAGTCTGCTGAAATAATAACAAGGCTCCAAGGAATTAATGAATCAATCCACCAAAATGAAACTGAAGCCCATAGTCATGCATCAGACTTATCTGTGGCAATTCCCCTCTTCTGTGATGAACTGGATCCAAAGCTATGAAAACCAGCCAAAGTTTAGACATGTCAACAGAAATAACAATAGCAGCAGCGTGGCTCTCTTTAATCTATACCAATCCCTCCTTACTTTTAACTGAAGCATTTATAAGAAAAATAAATCACCCAGTTATAATCCTAAGTGAGGACAGACAAAAATACAGATATTAAATGCAAGGGAGTTTAATACAAAAACGCAAGATGGAAATTCTTACTATACCACCAAAATGTCAAAATCAACATAATCATAATCTAATAGATTTACAGTGCCCCAAACTAACTTGTAACTATCCAATCAAATGTGAGCACAGGTTAGAAAAAACCACTCATCATCTGAAACTTACTTGATGGTACCATCCTTGTCATCAACACCCCCACCTCTTCCCCATGTTGGTCTTGGGGATTAAAAACACCAGTGGTTCTGGGCTCTTCTATCTACAGTTAAACAGGTGAGTGGATAAACTGACACAACGAATTAGTAGGAGGCAAATAAATGCATCTCTCTTTGAAGAAGATATTTGTACTTGCCCAATTAATTATTTTCACAGAGTTATTTACCAGTCTTAATGTTTTCAGACTCAATTAAGGAGATGAAAAGCCATCCAAGGCCCTATTTCAGAAATTCATAGCATATTCCTTAGGAACCACCCCCCTACCACCTTCCCACCTCTCACCCACTCATACCACCACCACTGCCAACATCATACTCAGAAACTTAGGAAGAATATCTTCCAAGAGGCAAAATTATGCCTAGGAGAACCAAACCACACGAATAAAGTTGAAGAAGTGGAAGGAGAAAACAGATAAAATAGAGACATGATCATTTTAAAAGAAATACTCTTGGCATAATGTTGAAGAATATGGACTGATTAATAATTTGTGCCCATCAGATCAATGTCAATTCAAAGGGAAGGAATGGCAAGAACTGCAAATGAGGCATCCTAAGGTTATTGTTGTTGTTGTTGTTGAGTCCAGTAAGTCATGTCCGACTCTTTTGCGACCCCATGGACCCACCAGGCTCCTATGTCCACAGGATCCTCCAGGCAAGAATACTGGAGTGGGTCGTCATTCCTTCTCATGCCATTCCTTCTCAGGGGATCTTCCTGACCCAGGGATTGAACCCATATCTCCTGCTTGGCAAGAGGATTCTTTACCATCTGAGCCACCTGGGAAGCCAAGGTTATTGTACCAACCAGAAAAAAAAAATATCAATTATAAAAATACTAAAAAACAAAAATACTAGCCAAGTGCCTACTCTGTACCACATGCCAAGGTCCTCCTAGTCAGTAAGAGCTAAGGGGAGAAGTCCAGACACATGGCAGGAGATGGGTAAAGGATTATTCAGAGTCTGGGAGAAATATCCAAAACCCTTAGGCAACAGTGAAAGGGCTCACGGTCACCTCTCTTAGAAGCAGAGCCGACTAAGTCTGTCAATCCCACCCGTGAGAGGTCAACTGGGCCCAGGACTGAATGTCTGCTATTGTTTTTACACCGCCAATAGCCACAGACATCAACACATTAAATGTAGAATGCATCTAAAGCACAAAAACCTCTGTTTTGGAAACAGTGGGCAGTGAGCACAGATTGCACGCGGCACAGGTGTGACGTGATCCGTATGGTGCTCTCGTCTGAGCAGGCAGACTCTCCAATCTGTCCCAACCACAGCCTTGCCAAGGTCTTCCCAGGCTTCTTATCGGAGCTCTGTCCTCCTGCCATCAACGTTACTCATTTGTGATAATGCGGTCAATCCCGGGAAAACCTAGGACAGGGCTATTTTTCGAGCCTTCTACTATGGTACATGCTATTCTGAGTCACTGCTATTAATTAGGTGTTTGCTCTTAGTCTCCATCCAAGCAATATGGCTGGTGTGGAAAACCACCTTCACCAGAGCTTCTGGAAAGCTCTGCTGCCCAGCAATAAAAAGGCAAAGAAGGAAAGGGGGAGGAAGCTGGGCAAAGCGCAGCACCACCCCGATACCTCAGCCAGAGGAGGCACTCCCCCAGAGCCCAAAGTGTCTGAAGAGAACCAGGCGTCCAGATCTGCGCCTTGTCCTCCAAACCACTCCCCCTAGGAGACCTCTCAACTTCCTCAAAGACCTTGAGAACTTCCTTCTGTTCTAGTCCCCAAGCTCTTTTAGTTTCTAGCTCTTTCCTCTCCCGCTTCATAAAAGAAAAACTCCGACACAATGAGGGTCAAGTAAAGTTAACAGCCACACAGGCAGGAAAAACCAGCTCCACTACAAAGAGGTTATTAATGGTCAAACTAACTCAGAAACAATCAGTTTAAAACAATGCAGATTTACTTCCATGGGCGGGAGAAGACTCTTGAGAGTCCCTTGGACTTCAAGGAGATCAAACCCGTCAATCCTAAAGGAAATTAACCCTGAATATTCACTGGAAAGACTGATGCTGAAGCTCAAGCTCCAACACTTTGGCCACCTGATGCCAAGAACTGACTCACTGGAAAAGACCCTGATGCTGGGAAATACTGAAGGCAGGAGGAGAAGGGGGAGACAGAAGATCAGATGGTTGGATGATATCACTGACTCAATGGACATGAGTTGGAGCAAACTCTGGGAGATAGTGAAGGACAGGGAAGTCTGGGATGCTGCAGTCCATGGAGTCACAGAGTCAGACATGACTTAGCGTCTGAACAACAAAGTGTATACAAAGGAGAGCAGCCCTTGTGAAGACTGTTTCTTAGACTGAAAGCAAGGGTGGGACGGTCCACAAGGAGCTGATTCGGCCTTGGCCCATCCATTTAGGGCTGGCTGTTTAAAGTGGAGCTGACCATAGGCCAGTGAAGTCCAGTTGTAGATTTCAGAAACCACTGACCCACCAAGTCCATTAAGTTGAGTCCAAGTGATAGAACTGAGTGACGACCACCAAGAGTTGAAGCTCACTATTCAGCTGGCGTTTGCTGACCCCAATGGGCTTTCTGAGCAACAGCTGTTCTGGGTCCTTCCTCTAGGCCCCCATCACTTGCTGTCTTATAATATCTCTTACCAATCCAGGTCCGGGTTTCTATAAATGCTCATTTTTCCTGCAATCAAACATCTGCTTCTTCCATTCTTTCTTCTTCCATCCAGGAGGATACATGTCCTTCCTTCATTGTGCTTACCATGTGCCAGAAGCATCACCAAGTAAGGGCAGAGAGCAAACCCCAGTGCCAGGTTATACTCACAAGAAAGCCACGCAAACTGACTGGGGTTCTGTGTTTTCCTGCCCAACAACTAGCATATCTGGTGGCCTATTTCTCACTGTCCCGCTTCTCTTCATTTTCCAGCCACGGGCATAAGAAAAGAACTCTCTCCATGTTTTCTCCATCCCCCAGACCAGCCCCCACCTCAAAATGGGAAGAATCAACAAATCAAAGGCAAAAAAAAAATGAAAATAATGGGTCTAGAGACATGATTAGTCATAAAGCACATCTTGCTTTTTTCCTCTTTGCCATTCACATCAGATGTTAATTATTTTTCAGGTTATTGTGCCAAATCTCAGCAGCCAAGAAGAGAAAAAGGAAAATTATCCAACAACTCTTTCCTTCCCAAGAGGAAAAACCTAGATCAGGAAGAAGCCCCCAGTCACTGTTCCCCCATAGAACCCTGGCACCCCACCAACCGCAGACAGGCTCACTGGTTTGTGGAAGTGACCTGGGGGTAAAGGAGGCCTTACTGCCCAAACTACCCCTTCCAGACCTGCATTATTCTGTATAAAGTTCACCTCTACCACCACCATGAATGAAAAAAAAAAAAAGCTTAAATATTTTTCTATCAATAAAAGTGTTCCTGTAAGTTCCTTAATCTATAGCCTGAAACGGCAGACACAGCCAAAGATGACCCCCAATAAGTTGCACCCTTGCAGAGTTCCTCAAGTGCTGGTAGAATTCATGATTTGCTTCTAATCAACAGAAAATGGCAGAGGGGATTAGATGCCATCCTCATAATTAGGTTATGTTACCTGGAAAGGATGAAGGGGGTTTACAGGTATAATGAAAAACCCCTCATCAGTTGACTTGAAGTTAACTCAAAGGGAGATTGTCCTGGGTGGGCCTGACCTAAAGAAGGTGAGCCCTTTAAGTAGGGTCTAGAGGTCAGAGATGTAAAGCTTCAGAGATGGGGCCATGAATTCTATAGGCACAAGGACAGGACTCTGCCAGCAACCTGACGGAGCCTGGAAGTTAATCATTCCCTAGTCGAACCTCCGGATGAGAACTCAGCCCAGCCAGCACCTTGATTTCAACCTTCTGAAACTCTGAGTAGAGAACCCAGCTAAACGATGGCCAAGTTTCAGATCTACAGAGATAGTAAAAGCATGTTGTTTTAAGCACCTAAGTTGGCGGTAACTTACTATGTGACGTAGAAAACTAGTGCAGGAGATTTCTGACTTTCTAAGAGGTTTAGGATTTTTGTGTTTTTCTGTTTTACCTCAATCATGATGACAAATTCAAGCAGATACACCTTCATTGTATTACCTGCAGGTACATCCCCCACGTGTGTCCAAGTGAGAGGATACAGACTCTTTGCCCCAAGTTTACTCCTTGTGTCTGAAAGCAGCATTATGCGTCACCTGACGACATACCTCAAACAGGCCCAGAACCTTCCCATATTCTCAGCCATCCCTCAGGTCTCAATTTTCCCAAAGCTCAAGTGTCAGTCTACTGGACAAAACCCTTTATGTCATTAAATTCCACTTTGCTGTGGGCACTTAGGGGATTATAGGTAATAAGTTAAATATTAACAGAGATGGACAGAATGGCCAAATGAGGTCGTCTGGCTGAAAATCCCAGGGTCGTCATCAGAATCTAAATAGAAGTCAACCCTTCAAAATACCCCACAGCATCTCCTTTGAGACACATTTTCTTCACTGCCCAGTGAAATTTCCTACATGTCTATCTTTTTTATTCCAAATAACACTTTATCCATGTTGCTTCATGGGCAGGACAGAGCAAGCTGTCCCCTGAAGTTATTTTATGCATCTGTATAAACTATCGTACCTTTCTTTTCTACCATGCCAGTGTGGAGAGCCTAACAAATAGATCTGCCCCCTTCCCGACCCCATCAATAACAATAATCTCTTTTTCTGTGAAATTCTCATCAATAGTCCATGAATCACTTAGTTCCCTTCAGTTGCTGCTATACATCCAAACTCCAAATGATGCATCACTTTCCAGGGATGCAACTGAAGCTGAACCTAAACTGCTAAATGGGAAAGGAAAGGACGGCATGAGCGAGTGAGTTCCTGGAGGGTGGACACTACTTACCTTCTTCTTTGTATTCTCTAGGGTTTCTAGCTTATTATAAATAATAAGCCCTCAGTTGATGTTTACAGAATTGAACTCAAGATAAGTGAACAGGTTCACTAAAGAAGGAGAGGGGCTCATCTCCTAATTATCAGCTTTTATTTCTTCTTGTCATCACCTACTCTCCTACGTTGTCTCCGGCCACTCCAAATATTGGTCCTGCAGCAGCCATGAATGGGTTAAAAAAACTAAAAATAATGCATAAGAATATTTTTAAGACTGAAATGCTACATATTATGTGCTTTCCCTGTTCTACAGTAGTGTGCAATCTCTGTCTCCTAAGTATTAATTGATAATGTTAATTATTAGCACCAAAGAAATCCTATTTCTTATTTTTAAACTACATCAATTCTTGGGACTTCCCTGGTGGTCCAGCAGTTAAGACTCTGTGCTTCCAATGCGGGGGCAGGGGGATTAGGGGGTGCACAGGTTCAGTCCCTGGTTGGGGAAATAAGATCCCACAATGCTGTGGGGCATGGTCAAAAAAATTTAAATAATTTTTTAAAAGATTAAATAATTAAAATTAATTAAAACTAATCCTGACCCAGGGATCAAACCTGCATCTCCTGCATCTCCTGTACTGGCAGGCAGATTCTTTACCACTGAAGCACCTGGGAAACCAAAACTTAATTAAGCTACATCAATACTTTAGATCTTTAAGTCAACGTCATTTTACTGAGAGTACCACTACCTGTCCTCCACGTTGCTTATTTCTGAGATGACACAACAGAAAAAGAAAGCACTAGTAGTCTCCCAAATTCTTCACTTTCAGTTTATCCTACAAGTCACCGATAGCACTTACATCTAACAGAGAGCACCCTCTCAATCAGCTTACGTTTCCCTTTCAGCTCTCTGAATTTCACCCAATAAGCTGCTTCTGCTAAAAAGTCTGGTTAAAACCCAAGAACCAGAAACACTTACCTTGCATCTACGCCTAGTACTTAGTACATACTTTTTTATGTTTGCTGAAAGAAATGTATTATTTTTTTATTTTTGGCTGTCCTGTGTCTTCGCTGCTGTGAGGGCTTTCTCTAGTTGCGGCAAATGGGGGCTACTCTCCAGCCGCGGTGCGTGGGCTTCTCGTTGTGGTGGTGTCTCTTGCTGCAGAGTGCAGGCTCTAGGAACAGGCTCAACAGTTGTGGTGCGCAGGCTTAGCTGCTCCATCACATGGGGGATCTCCTCTGCTCAGGGATTGAACCCGTGTCTCCTGCATCGACAGGCAATTCTTTATCAAAGCCACCAGGGAAGGCCCTGGAAATGAATTATTAAAAGTCTGCACCAGCGTCTGCATCACTCTGGATTGATATTGGTCCCGTACATTGAGAAAGCTAATCAGGTGATCTTTGTTTTCAGGGGCCAATAAAATTTTTGCAAGCTTCGCTGTCACGTGTATATTCAAGTCCCTTCTCAAGCCACCAACCTCCACATTAACACCACCCACCCCAGAGAAGCCTCCTCACCTGTCTGACTCTCGCCTCAACATCCCAGAGCTGTATAGAGACCTCCAGCTAAGGTGAAATAGACCACGTCTCTACTTAACCCAGCCCTGAGCCCGCCTTCCTGCATCCTGGAACTTTGAGCTCCTCCACACACTACGTAATGCATCCTTATCTCTTCTAGGCAGAGACTCCTCTGTATGACCTCTCTGCTCATGAAGTCTGCTAACTGCTAATTCTCTCCTTGCTGAATACCTCACAGCCACTATTTGGGGTCAGGCCTTCCCTGTCTACTGCCTGAATATCATAACAGCCTACTAACCTACCTCTCGTTTCATCCATCTCCAATTCTTCTTCCCCAGTGGAGCCAGAGTAATTTTTCTAAAATACAGATCTGGTTGTGTTCTTTTGCTGCTTAAAAGCCATCTATCCAAAGTAGCATATATACTCCCTTGCAATGACAAACAAACCTCCCTACACTTCCAGCCTTAACTCCTGCCATCCACCATCAGTCACACATCCTAGTGGTCTAGACAAACAAACCTGCCTGTCCCGCCTCCAGTAACCCAGGCTCACTCACAGCTCCATGCTTCTGCCCAGGTTGTTCCCTCTATTTGGTTTGCCCTGCTCAGCTTTCAAAACAAGCCTTGGTGGTGGTGGTGGTTTAGTCACTAAGTCACGTGCAACTCTTGAGACCCCATGGACTGTAGCCTGCAAGCTCCTCTATCCACGGGATTCTCCAAGCAAGAATACTGGAGTGGATTGCCGTTTCCTTCTCTAGGGGATCTTCTTGACCCTGAACAGTTAGATTAAGCTTACTATCCCTCCTAAGCACTCCCACCGCACTCTATACTTCCCCACTGTGGCATCACGCTTCACTGTAATTGATTATTATTTTTCTGTTTCCTCCCCTAAACTCCAAGCTTTTCCGTTTTGCTAATCACTGGATAACCAATACCTAACCCTGTATCTGACACCTAGTAGTGACTCAGTAAATACCCGAGTGACTGACTAAATAACATGATAATAATAATGACAGCAATAACAATGTTGTTGTTGTTTAGTCACTAGGTTATGTCTGACTCTTTGTGACCTCATGGACTGTAGCCCACCAGGCTCCTCGTCCATGGGATAACCTAGGCAAGGATACAGGAACAGGTTGCCATTTCCTTCTCCAGGGGATCTTCTTGACCCAAGGATCGAACCTGCATCTCCTGCAGTGGCAGGCAGATTCTTTACCACTGAGCCAGTGGGAAGCCCAGAAATAACAACAGCTAACACTTATTCAGTACATATTATGCACCAGGCACTGTTCAAAGTACTTATATGTGTTAATTCATTTAAACTTCAAAATAATCCTAAATATTATTTTTTATCACTGTTTTAAAATAAAGAAATTGTGACGCAGAAATGTTAAATAAAATGTCCAAGGGCATATAGACATTAAGAAAACAGGATCTGAATGGGAACGATGAATCCCAGGGCTTAGGTTCTTAACCCTCTCTGTATGACGACCTCTCCTTTACACATGATTCAGTTCAAATGTCACTTCCAGTGGAAACCTTCCCTTACCATCCAACCTGAGTGAGGCATTTCTCTCCCGCATCCCATGACACTTCATATCCACCTCCCATCAGCACTGACCACAGTCACTGTATGGCTTGGTGTCTATTCCCATTAATGCACGAGGTCTTGGAGGACAGGAGCTTTGACTTGGTCTTATTTTTCTTTGTATCCTGAGTGCACATGGTAAATATTCAAGTGACTTGGATGGATGATGGATGGGCAACCTGAGCTGGACTATTAGCATTCATTTTCATATCATCCAGCAGGTGGCAGAAGAAGACAAAGCTAAACAGAGGCTGACCTAGCTTACCTTTCACGCTGGTCACTTTCTTTATGATGGGTTCCTGATCCCGGCACAGCGTGACCGTCACTGTGGCTCTGGGTGCACCATAACCCCAGATCACTGCCCCTGCAGGCTCCCTCTGCAGCACCATGTAGTCGTCAATGTACGAAGCAAAGCGAAAACCAACATCTGAAAAATTCAGCAAACATTTAGAAAAAATCATTGGAAAGATTCAGTGCCAGATTGAATGTGGTGAAACAGCGAGGAACACGCAGTCTTAATACGTGAGAATTCCAAGTTACCCTGTCCTTTCAATTTTCTAAAACCAGATCTTATTCCTCCTAATTAGGTAAGCAGCATTACAAGGACAGTTTCCAGCAGTATGCATCACAGAATAAGAGGACCAGTAAGGAAAATTCAGAGAGCCTGGGGCATTTAATACGTGCCTCCTCCCCTTCAAAGCTCCTCATGATCCTTTGCTCTCAGGCATGGCTCTAACGCTTGACTCCCTCCCCCCAAAATCACCAAACACGCTCTTTTTATGCATCTCACAGATGGTATTTATGAGAAAAATAAACCACTTCCTTTCCCTACTTTCCATTACCATTACCACTCCTCACAGCTTGGAATAAAGAGGCTGCCTCTCTCCATCACAGCCCTTTCTAATCTTTTCTCTCTACTCTTTATCTCCCCTCTTCCATTCTCTCAGTGTCCATTTCCCTCCAATAACTCTCCTTATTGTTTTTTTGACAACCCACTGAAAATTCTAAATAAACCTTTATAAGTATATGTGATAAGTCTGACTCCTTCTAAGGTAAATTCAAATCAATTAAGATGCAAAAAAACAAGGTCAGTGAGAGACAGAAGGTTAAAGTGTCTGAACCAAGGTCTTTCCTTGCAATTCGCCCATTTTGCAAGCTAAATTATATGAAAAGAGTAAAAGCCCTTGAAACTGTGGATTCTATTCTAGACAGTCACTAACAAGGCTGAATAAGAATTCACTTTAACGAGATCATTCCTATTTTTAACCTCCAGCCTATATCGAAGTATTTTATTAATAACAAGTATCTATCCAAATTATCTCAGTGAATTCCTCATCAAAACTTAATAAGAGAAGAAAAAAAAAAAAACTTTTTCACTTACATCCCACTTTATCTGAAGAAAACAGACCAAAACCCCCCAGAAGAAAATTAACAAAATTAAGATTTTTTTTTTCCAAGTGTTTTAAACAAAAATGATAGACAGGAAAGAGAATCAGAACTAACAAAGTTGACATTTTTTTCTCCCCGGAAGCTCCAAATGATGACAGCCCCTCAGGCTATACTTAACAGGGCAGCATCACTAATGGGTCTCCTACACAGACTTGGTGGCCTATTTGTCCTGCACTTCAAATAACAGCCCAGTCCCTAGACATCCTCAGCTCTCTCTTAGGAGTTTGCTCCACCAGAAAATCTACATGACAATCAAAGATCATCCAGAAGATCCACTGGGCTGGAGATGCACAGCTATCAGGAGCAAAATGCTCTAAGTGGAGACTACAACAGTCTAGAATTGCATAAGCACTTTTGGCAGCCTGCTGGAGGGAAGGGAAGAGGCACATGCGTGGGAAGGCCCAGTCTTGGGTAAGTGCTTCAAATGGAACAAAACCTGAAAACTCAAGGCTTAAGAGCTAAGCAGAAAGAGGATGGGGTAGGGAAGGGATTGAAGAAAACTGGTTGCTGCAGGTGTTATTGTTGTTTAGTCAGTAAGTCGTGTCAGACTCTTTTGTGGCCCCGTGGACTGAAGCCCAGCAGGCTCCTCTGTCCATAGAATTTCCCAGGCAAGAATACTGGAGGGGGCTGGCTGCAGGCATGAGACCATGCAAATGAGGGGTTCTGGGTGTGTGCAGCCACCTTCTCAAACTTTGGGGGAAAATACCTTCCCCCACCCCCTTGGTTAGTCTGTTTTTGACCACACACATTCGTTGAACCTCTTTGTGCACGACTCTATTTTGAGTTACAGAATTTTAGAGATGGAAAGGATCTTTTACACCCTAGGGTAGAATCATGTTATTTACTGATCAGCAGACTGAGACCCAAGTTAGATTAGGTAATTTTTTAAAATAGATTGCATATTATTTATTTTGGAGTTGCCCACTATGTTCACTTCATGGCAAATAGATGGGAGACAGTGGAAACAGTTGCTGACTTTATTTTTCTGGGCTCCAAAATCACTGCAGATGGTGACTGCAGCCATGAAATTAAAAGACACTTACTCCTTGGAAGGAAAGTTATGACCAAACTAGACAGCATATTAAAAAGCAGAGACATTACTTTGTCAACAAAGGTCCGTCTAGTCAAGGCTAGATCCATACAGTGGTCATGTATGGATGTGAGAGTTGGACTATAAAGAAAGCTGAGGGCCGAAGAATTGATGCTTTTGAACTGTGGTGTTAGAGAAGACTCTTGAGAGTCCCTTGGACTGCAAGGAGATCCAACCAGTCCATCCTGAAGGAGATCAGTCCTGGGTGTTCATTGGAAGGACTGATGTTGAGGCTAAAACTCCAATACTTTGGCCACCTTATGTGGAGAGCTGACTCATCTGAAAAGACCCTGATGCTGGGAAAGATTGAGGGCAGGAGGAGAAGGGGATGACAGAGGATGAGATGGTTGGATGGCATCACCGACTCAATGGACATGGGTTTGGGTGGACTCAGGGAGTTGGTTATGGACAAGGAGGCCTGGCGTGCTGCGGTTCATGGGGTCACAAAGAGTTGGATACAACTGAGCGACTGAACTATGTGCCATGAAGAAGGAAATGGCAACCCACTCCAGTATTCTTTCCTGGAGAATCCCATGGACAGAGAAGCCTGCCGGGCTACATCGGAAAGAGTCAGACACGACTGAAGCGACTTAGCATGCACTATGTGCCAGGCACAATTTTAGGAAATGAGGATACAACAGGGAAAGAATTGGGTGCGGGGTGGGGGGGGGGCGGATGGAGACAAAATTCCTTGCCAGCAGGAAGCTTACATTCTATGGGGGAGCTTAACTGTGGCAAGCAGAGAACTAGACACATGACAGATGTCAAACTTCTTCGGCCCCAAATCACACAGGTAGTTCAGGACAGGACAAGACCTCAAGCCACCTGATTCCAAGATTACTGCAAAGCACTACTCTGCCACAGTTAGATACTGGTGGTAAAGTGGTGGGACTGGTCATTGTTTTTGTCAACTACAAGACACTTAACATTTCAATTTTTTGTTTTAGGTCTTCAATTTTTTCTTCATTTGGGTGTCAGAGTAGAAAAACAGGAATTCGTGTTCTGGGATGTTAAAAGCAGTTATTAAAAGTCGACTGACAACATGAGGGCAGTGGTTACTTCTGGTGAAGAACTAGTAGCTCCCTGGGGGTGGAATATCCTTGAAGTCTCAATAAAACTGCAACAGTCTAGCTCTTAAATTGGGTGTAAAGCCCTTGGGTGTTCATTTTATTGCTTCACTGCTATATATATTCATGTACATTTCAAATATTACATGATAAACGAAGAGAGGGAATGATTTGAAGAAGTCAGGATATGCAACCAAATACTAAGGAAAGAAAACCTAGAGCATCAATGAATAAAAAAACAAAAGTCATTGTTAATGAAGGTTATGTAACAATATGACCCAAAGGCAAAGATAAATAAAAAGACTGATATTAAAGTTAACAGCCTTTAACATAGAAACTAATACTGGCCCTCTTTCCCTTCTCCCCACTTCATATATTGGGCTCAAAGGTCACTGTGTGGGGATGAATCAGAAAATGATATACAGAGTGCTAGTTTATGCCTCTGTTAAACCCCGAAAACCACTTATGAGCTGCAGTTTGTCTGCATCTGTACTTTGCGGATTCATACACTGAGCAACAGTCCTTTTTCTGCACGCCGTCTGTTCTCCCACTTAAACTTTCTTTCCTGTGACCCAGCGTCCAGCTCGGGGTCAAACGACACGATATGACTAGCACAACAGTCAAAATGAGTGAGTCATCCTCTTCCCCAAGAAAACGGCTATTATCCCACTATCAATGCCCGGGAGCAGGAATCAAAGCTGAGTCTTAAATACTCCAAGCTGGTGAGGGGGCTGTCTGTCTTAGCCATCATAACCACTTAAACTAGTAAAAGTTAATTCCCCCAAGGAATCCAGCCCGGGGCAAACCCTCCCCAACGGTACCACTGAGGGGGCAGCACTGAAACGTTTCGGATGACTCAGTCACCCGTTTCCAAATATTATCTAACTAGCTTCGCCCCCTCCCCTTCGAGTTCCCCCACAGTTCTTTAAAGACCCTGAGAGCCTCGGTCTGGGCACACCTAGTTCTCCCTTCCAGAGATAAACCCAACTCTCATTGCCCCACGCGAGGCGTCATAAGGGCGGTGGAAGGGAGAGGAGGAAGCAGACACCTGCAACCTAGGCCTGGGCCGTAGAACCCGGTTCCTGCCAGGGGATCCTCTCCCAACCTAGAGAAGCAGGCGCCGGGGGCGGTCCTGCGGAGGACGCGGAATCTCGGTCCTCGCAGGCCGACGGATGGGCAGGGGTCGGGCCGAGCGCGGCCGCCTCACCTGCACTTACGTGGGCCTGCAGGAATAACCGCAGCACCAGACCCAAGACAAATTCCGACGCAATCATGTTGGCAAGAAGCCGTCCCAGCCGCGCAGGCCTCGGGGCATGGACGCCAGCGAGGGCGGGGCCGCGGGGCGGGGCGGAAAAGGCCTGACTCCGCCCTTCCCAGGCCAGTCAGTCCGCGAAGCCGTCCGCGGCCTCCGGGCGGGCCCGTGCCTCTCTTCGGCCACCGTAGTGGAAAGAGCGGGGGCGGGGAGGAAACGGTTTCCCGGCAACGAGAAAAAACAACCCGAACCAGCGGCTCCAGCTCTGAGAGAACGGAGAGGTGAGGCGGTTTACCCCATTTCCTCTCCGAAATAGAGACCTCGCCTTTTCCCTTCGTCTCTGGTATTTTCTCAGGATCCCCTCCCGCAATCTGGGAAGCCGAAGTCAGGCTGGGAACCCATTTGCCCATTGTGCGAGTCTGAAATCCCAGATCCTCGACGTCCCGCCCTCCACTCCCGACAACGGTCCAGGGTTTCTTCCTCTTCACAACCAGTGATTCAATGCTTCACCTCCTGTTCCGTCAGAAAAAAAAAAAAAAAAAGAAGAAGAAGAAGGAGAAGAAAGTCCACAGATTCGGCCTCATTAAGCCTTCTAGACCCCCACCGAGACCCCTACCAGGACTTCCGGGCTTATTCGGCAGTGACGCTGTCACAAACAGACCAGGTCCCTGAGTCTTGTTTGCAGACTCAGTAGCCCAACCCGCTGCTTAGCAGCTATCCTTACCCGGCCCTTGTATGCTAAGACAGAAAACCAAACAAACAAACAAAAAAGTAAGAATCCCAAAACCTTTTGAGGCTGGAATTGCTGTGTCGTGACCTTACCCGCAGCTCTGTCGCTGCACTGCCTTTTCCACAAGTATAGAGATGCTTCGACGAGGCATCCTAGGTCATACTTAAGAAGTGGAAGCCAGGGGAACGACTTAAGTCTGAAACATATTCGTTCGACCAGTTAGAGTAGTTTCAATGACTTCTTTTTTTTTAAGACCTTAAAAAGGGTTTCTTTCGGCAATTTAAGATGAAATTTTAGCAATCATTTTCTAAATTCCTGTGGGATAGGAAAAATTACCCTTTTAAAGGCGGAGAGGGAGAGAGGAGAAAGTACTTAGTGTCATACTGAAAATCTGTGATTTTTGTAATTTTTTAAAATGATGTCACCTATTAAATATTTTTAATGTTCTAATAGAAAATTTCAAAACTCTTTGGAAGAAATGGACGGACTTGGGTTGTACTGAGGAGGAAAGGATTGAAGTCCAGAAATTTGGGGTCTCAGAAATAATTTGTGGTCTTAGTTATGATTATCTGAGTGAAATGAGACAAATTTAAAGACAGTACTCTTTCATGCATTTCTAGGTACAGTAGACAGTTCCTCCCAAGGAGATGTCGATTCCATTTTCCAACACCCACTACCGAATTCCACAAGGATTTGGAAATCTTCTTGAAGGGCTCACACGGGAGATTCTGAGGGAGCAACCGGACAATATACCAGCTTTTGCCGCAGCATATTTTGAGAATCTTCTAGAGAAAAGAGAAAGTAAGCTTTTTAAAACTAGGCATTTAAAAAAGAGAGAGACTAAATGTTTGACTATGGTGAGACTTGCTTAAGACCAGTGTCACTCCACAAAAATCCTTTATGAAGCAGGGAGTTTTCAGCTAACAGTTCTTCTTATTTGAAACAGCCTTTGGGGGGCTTTCCAGGGGGCACTAGTGGTAAAGTACCCAACTTTATACAGGAATACAGGAGAGTTAAAAGACACAGGTTCGATTCCTGAGTTGGGAAGATCCCCTGGAAGAGGGCATGGCAACCCACTCTAGTAGTATCCCATGGACAGAGGAACCTGGCAAGCTACAGTCCATGGCGTCGCAAAGAGTCTGACACAACTGAAGTGGCTTAGAACACACGCGGGTGCCTTGAATCACATTATTTCACATTATTGAAGATTACCAGTTTATCACCCAGACCTTCTTTGTATTTCTCAGGGACACCTGGGGTGGAAGGGGAACTCATGAGAACACCCAGCCTAGCTCTTTTCCTGAATATTGTTCCTATGCCTCCCAGGCAGTTGACTGTCTCTTCTTCCCTGTCTCTCCTACTTGAAAGTATTATTCAGTGCTGTAAAAAAAAAAAATTTATACTCCTTAGATTAAATAAGTTGGTATTCACAGGGGTGTATGAAACTGTTCCTCAATAAAAGTACAGAGAAAAACTGCTTTGAAAAGTGAACTTCCAGGTCGGGAAAGTAATGTATATTCTGGTTCTGTATTTCCAAGGTCCCATACTGTCCAAAGACTAAGATTCATGCTAATTCTGGCTCAGAGCCAGAGTTTCTTCACTTCCATAAATAAAATTTCCAAATTCTCAGCTATAAGTTTCTATTAAAAATCCTGACTAGAACAACCATTTTGTTTAAGCTGTTATCGTTACTTTTGATAACAATATTCCAGCAGAGTAGTAAAGGTGCCCTGGTGTGGCTCAAAGGCAAAGAATCTTCCTGCTCATGCACAAGATGCTGGTTTCGATTCCTGCATCAGGAAGATCACCTGGAGAAAGAAATGGCACCCACTCCAGTATTTTTGCCTGGGAAATCTTTTGGACAGAGGAGTCTGGCAGACTACAGTTCATGGGGTCACAAAGAGACACAACTTAGTGAGTAAACAAAAAAAACAAGAAATAGTCACAAGCACGTAAACATTCCATTTTGATCCTTTTACAGAGGGAGGAAACCTACCATGAGGCTTGAACTGAAACAACACCCATACACACTACATAGCTCCACCTCCTTCTCTTCTTTGCTCTACCTTAACCAAGCTCAGAATCTCTGCCAATTTTCTGAATTGCTGGCCTTTTCCATTTCCAGTCAGTGTGAATATTTGTTACCCAATCTGAAACTTAAATGCCACTAAAAAAGCTATTAAGAGAAATCCTTTAGAGTAAGAGGTGAATTGCAATGAACTTTAATTTTCTTATTATAACATTAATTTTACAAACACATGACAAAAAGTCTTGTTTATTTGATTTTAGACCTCAGAAACATCCCATTACAAAACCATGGGAGTCATTTGTCGCCAGATCATGATAATTAAAGTAACTGGTGATTCAGATTAATGGTCTCAGAATACAAACTTTCTAATAAAAAACTATTTTGAAAAATGTAAGTGCCACACCCTTCCACTCATGTAAACGAGGTCATACAAGGATCAGAATTTAGCCTTTCCAAAAAGACAGAAAAGAATCCTCTAGCCTAGTCTCTCACAGAGTACAAGAATTCCCTTGCCAGCATTCCTCATAGGTAATTACTCATCTTAATCTTGAAGATTTTTTGTGACAGGAAATGTTTTACTATATGACACAACGTGGTATCAAACCTCTAGGGAAAAGGTGGGCCTTTATTAAATGATCTTGAGATAAAGATGTTAAAAGATTAAATTGGATCTATTTCTTACATCACATACCAGGGTAAAGTTTCAAATTGATCAGAGATTTAAATATTTTAAAAAATGAAACCTTACAAATACTGGAAGAAAGCATGGATGAATTTCTCTGTAACATAAAAGAGGAAAAATTTTTGCTAGCTAAGTTACTATACTTTAAAAATCCAAAAGCAATTAAAGAAAATATTGATAAAATTGGCAACATAGAAATAGATTTTTACTTTTACAAAAATCACCACATGGAAAATAAAACTACAAATGACAGAAAAAAATACTTGCAAATTCTATTACAGTGGGTTAATAAATGTAGTGAATAAAAAGCTTGTCAAAGTCATGAAAAGAAAACAACTTATATTAAAAATGGGCAAGTGATGTGAGCAGACAATTTGCACAAAAATAAGTGCAAATGACTCACCCTTAACATATGAAAATGTACTCAAAATAACCCATGATAACACAATAACAGAAGCCCAAACCAAAACTACAATGAAGTCCCACCACCTGCCAAGAGAACTCTACTCATCAAGTTGACAAAAAGCCAGGCGTGTGCCAATTTATTGTAGGCAACACTAGAGGAAATAAGCACTCATATACATTGCTGGAGGAGATGCAAAATGGTAACAATCCCAAGGAGGGGACTTAGCAATATCTACCAAATTACATCTATTTTTACCTTTGACCCATATTTTATTCAGTTTTCATTGTATTGTTACTTGAGGAAGCAACCCAAATATTCATCATAGGGGATTTTTTAAAATAAACTTGAGTAAGTCTACACTACTGATAAATGTGCAGCTGTAAAAAAAACAAGCAAAAATGAAATGAGGAAGATTTCTATGATGCTATAGAGTGATCTTCAGGGCATATTAAATGAAAAAAGTAAGGTAGAAGAAAATATGTTTAGTATGTACCAATTATCTAACAGAGGTATTGATATGAACAGATAACTGTTCACTTATATTTTTAAATGGAGAATAAACCTTATTAAAAATTATTTTTTACCCTTACCAGGAGAAGGAAGAGTGGAGGGAATAGCATAGAAGCTAGACTCCTCTGAGTATATCTTAAATCAAATCATGTATGTTTAACATAGTTATAAAAATAGAATTAAAGTTGTTCAGCAATTTCTAAATTTAGAAGTAAAATGAAATAAATGAACCTAACATGGGTAACATGACCACAGAAAAAAGAATTATTTTATGTTACTTTATAACACAGTGCTTTGAGCATTCCTGATGGATATAGCCTAAAAACAAAATGATGTTTAAAAAAATATGTTAAATTGTTTTCATTTATCACTGTTAATAATATTACAGTATAGTTATTTTGAAGTTTTTATACATTGTAGGACATAACAAATAATTAACTATCCTATTGGAATTAGGAATAGGATTTTTAGTATAAGAAAAAGTACATGCAAATATAAAAATGAAAGAAGTTAATAAACTCCTATACTTCTAAATTTGAATTGAAAAGTGTCAGTGTGACTTCATGGTATATTTTCTCTTTAAAAAGTGACAGTGTTATTTTCTAGCTCTATATACTTCTTTTTAAGTCCTCAAAACAATGAACAGCCCAGTACCAGTGAGCCCTTGGTCCCTAGACTGTGGCCTCTACCTACCATTTTCCAAAAACCAGGGCCTCTTGGAGAACAAACCAATCCCATGAACTGGGCAGAAAGCATGCAAGATTAGCCTCATCACCTTGTTGTACCAGAAAGTAAGAAAACTATCAAAGATTATTAGAGTTGTTTCCATAGGACTCAGAAACATTTGAACACCTGAATAAGCTCATACTGGACAATTTTGGACAATTAGAACATCAGTAAGATGAATAAATGCAGGAGATTGAAATTCATTCCATTTCTTAAATGTTCATTCTTTCATAATTATTTACTGAAAAACAAAACAAACAACAGAAAACTCCTTGAGAGGATCCTAAGGAACTTACTTATTAATCTAAAAATTGGGAAATTGTCAAACCTCTAACCTGCCTTTACTGTAAGAACTGTATTTCAGGGTAACCAAATAGGTAAAGTATTTTTGGTTGCATACTCCAGAAATAGAGAAGTAATAATCAAATTAGAACATTGCCATTTTGCAATCCCTAAAGTAATTATCTAAGCGAGTCATTATCAACAGGCCCATAAAAACTATGAAAAAGAGAAACAACCAGATATACATTTCCTAACAGAATGATACCATAAATTATACTATATACTATACTATATTATACTATAAAGTATTCTTTGGAAAAAAAAAATCAAACCTGAATCAGATCAAACCTGTAGATCTAACCGGAAATATGCAGGAAATTCAAAGGCAGAGGAACTTGTTAAAAAATCATAATGGGAATGGAATCAGAAATATCCAAACTGTGGAAAACTCCAAAGGAAAAATGACTTAATTTCCTCAATAAATAAATGGCAAGGAAAAAATGTGGGGTGGGAGATAGGGAGGTTTCAATTAAAAGGGATTTAAGACATTACAAAAGGTTGTGTGTTTGGGTCCTGATTTGAACAAATCAACAGTAAAAATTAATAAATAAAAATACACTAGATAATCGGGCTTCCTAGGTGGCTCAGTAGTAAAGAATATGACTGCCCATGCAGGAAATGCAAGAGATAAGGGTTTGATCCCTGGGTTGGGAAGATTCCCTAGAGTAGGAAGTGGCAACCCACTCTAGTAGTCTTGGCTGGAAAATTCCCTGGACAGAGGAGCCTGACGGGCTACAGTCAATGGGGTCGCAAAGAGTGGGACACAACTGACCACAAGCAATACTAGATAATGGGAGGAATTTGGATAGTTGATGATATTAAGGAATTATTGCTCTTATTTTTAAGTGTGATAATGGCATTATAGCTTTATATCTCAGAGATACATACTGATGCAAGTATTTATAGATGAAATAGTAAGATGCTTGGGGTTGGCTTGAAAATAATCAGAAAGGGCAGGAAAATGAATGAAGTTACAAATAAAATAAGATCAGTTATGAGCTTGTAATTATTGAATCTGAGTAATGTGCACTTGGCAATTTGTTATATTATTCTCTCTACTTTCTAAGTCTGAAATACTTCATAATGAAAAGTTAAAGAAAAATTCTATTTAAATATAAATACTTCTGTCTACCTGACTACATAATATGCCCACTTTTTTTTAAGAAAAAACTTCTCCCATCTTTCATTTTTCCAAATTTCCTCACTATTCAGTATTTATTTTTATACATTTTTCTTATGTTTACTAATACATAATAAGTTTCTATAAGTATATAATAATACATTTCTATACTGATATTTAAATATTGGCATTTGTTCTCTACCACTCCCATTTTATTATAACTTCTATGAAGGCATCAAGTAGGTTTTTTAACTGCCTTTCTAAATATCTTCAAGGGTTTATCTGTTGTTTAATTCTTTGTCATCACTGGTTATATCCACAGCACTAGGCTCTCTACAATGTCAATAAAATTTTCGAGGGTCAATAAAGGACCTATAATTTGAAAAAGAAAGCATTTTATGTTACTAGTCTGCATTTACTTTAATGACTTCAAAGTAAGTCTGGAATTATATTTTTGTTATTTAGAAACCAGCTTTGATCCAGCAGAATGGGGGGCTAAAGTTGATGACCGCTTCTATAACAACCATGCATTCAAGGTATGGTCCCGATAAGCTTCTGGATTTGGTTAATACTTCTCCCTGTCTCCAATACAGAGATCCTTGGGATCACCCATAATCATGAATATTGTGAAAGGCATTACAAATATTTTATGAAATCTTTTTAATTGTGCTATTCTTTCTGGAAAGAAATTCTTTTCTAAGATATCTGAATCGTGTACCATACTTAGCTTAAATTTACAGATGATCAACGGGAAAAATGTACTTGAAAGAGATAGAATAATTACTTTCACTTATTGTGCAAATGTTATTGAGTATCACAGTGCTTATCAGTAGCAGATGTGCAATAAACAGTGGTTGAATTAATGTGTGCTATTTCATAAAATAAAATAAAACACATAAAACAATTATTCATTATTGGTGATATCTTACAAAAGACTGATTAGAATTAAAGATGGTATAGAGCCTTCTCTATTAAGCCAATCCATTCAGAGTCTGAACCCATCTTCTTCTCAGTAGCATTCTCAGAACCAGCCTTTCTCAACCAAGGCTCCTCAAAATAATTAAGCCCTAAGCCCAAGGCATCCATTGCATGTCAGGAATTAGTGTCTCTCCTTGGTATCCAGAATGATTATGTTTATGTACCTCCTTGGGAAAATTGAGAAAATAATCACTTAAAGCATTCTATGTTCTGTAACTCCAGTGAAGAACACTGGTTGAGAAAGGCCATGTGTGATCCATCGTCTTTGGCACCAACTTGGAACTTGGTGGAAATTCAATCTCAAGCTCTACACCAGGTCTACCAAATCAGAAGTTAAATTTTAACAAGATCCACAAAGTAACTTGTAGGTACACCAGAATCTGGATGTAGTCTGAGAAGTACTACTTTAGACAACTATTGATAATACATTAGCCATGAAGCATCAGTAGGTACTAGAATTAGTAAGCAAAGGTCAAATTTTGATGATGTTACAGAGTAGATTTGGGGGATTTTCTGGGCAAATCCCACTGAGACTTATTCTGTGAGTTCAAAAGTGAAGTTCCATCCATTTGAGCCTGCCAGACACAGGGGTGTTCTTTTTATTTCCATCTAACTAGATTCTCTGTGTTCCTGTTTTTTTGAAAGCAAAGGAATAATGTTGAAAATTTTTAAATCTTAAGTCACAGCAACTTTAGAATGTTTTTTCTTCCCTTTTGAATTCTAAAGGCTTTATTTGATGAGTTTATAAGTCCTTCAATTTATGTTTTATGAATTAAAGAAGCTCTTCCCATAGGTTGTGAATTAACAATGCTGCTCTTCTGGAGGAAGATTTCAGTAACAACATTAAGATAGAACTGGTTTCCTTGTTTTCTATTTAAATCCTTCCCCACAACAAAACTTACTTCTTTAGTTTTTAATTTACAAACTTCATTAAAAAGTCAACTTGACCGCACATTATGGAACAAAATAGGATTTATTTCATTCCTATTTGAGGAACTATTGGCATCTCTTTTTTATTCTTTGTTCAAGGTTCGTTACAGCATCATATCAAGTTTTAGTATAAGACAGTGATTTGTTTTTAATATAAAACAATATTACACACATTCCAAAGGCAGAAGGTCAAACTTTTTTTAACCAGTACCTTGGTCTTTAATATTTGTTTGTGCTATTCCCTTGAGAGTTTTCTGATTTTATCCAACCAGCTTTCCTTGTTTAAAAATAATATGTATTTAATCTCCAGTACTTATCAATAATTTAATCTTTAATCATCTTTAAACAGTTTGATCCAAGACTTTATTGTTTTGGACACATTACCTATTTGGACCTCTCCCCTCTATCCAGGAGCAAGAATCACCTGAAAAACATGAACCTGGAAAAGAAAATTCTCAGACATCTATGAAAGAGAAGACAACCTTAGTAAGTTATATTTTCCATGTACTGTTGGGTTCATACCAAAAAAAATTACTTCACTCAATTTAAAATTATACTCCAAATACGAATCCAGTCTCTTATCCATATTGCTAAAATAATGAGAAACCTGTATGCAGGTCAGGAAGCAACAGTTAAAACTGGACATGGAACAACAGACTTGTTCCAAATAGGAAAAGGAGTACGTCAAGGCTGTATATTGTCACCCTGCTTATTTAACTTATATGCAGAGTACAGCATGAGAAACGCCAGGCGTAAGAAGCACAAGCTGGAATCAAGATTGCCGGAAGAAATATCAATAACCTCAGATATGCAGATGACACCACCCTTGTGGCAGAAAGTGAAGAAGAACTAAAGAGCCTCTTGATGAAAGTGAAAGAGGAGAGTGAAAAAGTTGGCTTAAATCTCAACATTCAGAAAACTAAGATCATGGCATCCGGTCCCATCACTTCATGGCAAATAGGTGGCGAAACAGTGGAAACAGTGGCTGACTTTATTTTTTTGGGCTCCAAAATTACTGCAGATGGTGACTGCAGCCATGAAATTAAAAGACGCTTGCTCCTTGGAAGGAAAGTTATGACCAAATTAGACAGCATATTAAAAAGCAGAGACATTACTTTGTCAACAAAGGTCCGTCTAGTCAAGGCTAGATCCATACAGTGGTCATGTATGGATGTGAGAGTTGGACTATAAAGAAAGCTGAGCGCTGAAGAATTGATGCTTTTGAACTGTGGTGTTGGAGAAGACTCTTGAGAGTCTCTTGGACTGCAAGGAGATCCAACCAGTCCATCATAAAGGAGATCAGTCCTGGGTGTTCATTGGAGGGACTGATGTTGAGGCTAGAACTCCAATGCTTTGGCCACCTGATGCGGAGAGCTGACTCATTTGAAAAGACCCTGATGCTGGGAAAGATTGAGGGCAGGAGGAGAAGGGGACGACAGAGGATGAGATGGTTGGATGGCATCACTGACTCAATGGACATGGGTTTGGGTGGACTCAGGGGGTTGTTGATGGACAGGGAGGCCTGGCGTGCTGCAGTTCATAGGATCGCAAAGAGGCGGACACGACTCAGCGACTGAACTGAGCTGAACTGAAAATAATGATTTTGCTTTCTAGATAACTAGCAACAATGATGTACTAACTGCTGGATCATTTTTAGTCCTGCCTCTTTAAAGAAAACTATTCTTCCCCTTATAAAGAAAATCTTATTTTCCAAGATTGTCAACAGATGGGAAAAATCTCCCCAAGGAGAAGAACAGACCAAAATCACAGTCTAAGCCTTGATCCTTCAGATTCCTTGTCCACTTGGGAAACTTTTCACTAACCGAGGCTGTCCCCACCACACAGTGGCAAAGGTTCAGACATAACAAAGGAACTTTGTTATGGGGAAATTATTCTCATGGGGAATTACTTATTACAGTCAAATTAAATGGCTTCACTCAGTGAGTGCTACTCATCTTCCATGCGTTTCACTCTACAAAATTCTGCCTCACGGCCTACATCCAAGCGATGGTGGGTTAGGCTCTGTCCACCCTCAAAATGCTTACATTCAGTGGTGTGCTAAAGCTAGCTCTTAAGAGACAATTGTGCACATACCTACACCACCCCAAATATCACTTTGATATTTGAAATCAGCTATAGTGGGAGTATTAATATCATCATAAATACTACAGATCAGGACTATTTTTTTCTGAAGAGCCACTTGTTAAACATTTACTATAAACATATCACTGTCTATATGATTCATCATCCAGATCGAAGAGGACCAAGCCTAGTGAGAAGAACTCATTGTCTACAGTGTTGAAGGCCAGACTTCCGAGTTTCTTTTCATATATTAATGTCCCAGTTAATTACCCAGTAATTGACACCCAAAATGGGCATCCCCCTCCCCAGGGGGGTATGAGTTTTGCTTATAACCTTTATAATTCATTTCAGTGCAACTCCATCTGCTTCACATGAGCATAAGATACACTGGGAGTTCAGGAAATAAGGGAGGGAGTATTCTTTCCTTACATCTCTAACAGATGCCCTTACACAGGTTTTTTGACTTTGAATTTTGGTCCCATTGATTTCTGACTTCAGCATAATTCATTTGCCCATGTTAGGATATCATTTCAGAGGATTTTATACCAATCTGTTTGCATTTTAATAAATTTCAAGAGCTGGATTTGCCTCTTTGTCATGGGGGGAGAAGGGGTTTAAATAGCCCAAAGGTCCATTAGTAGGAAAATGAGTAAATTAATCAAAGTACATCAATGCAATGGAATACAATGATGCCATTAAAAAGTGGGCAGAATTATGTAGTGAATAACATAGAAAAAGAGCCAAGATTCACTGTCACATGGAAAAAGTAGTTGCAGAACATTGTGATTAGCATGATCTCATTTCTTTAAATAAAAAGGCAAATATATACCCATGTGATTACATTTGATATATAGAGAAATTTTATAAGGTTAAATTTACTTCATCTGTAATAACGGTTACCTCTTAGGTGTAGAACTTTGTAAGACAAAGGAAACCTTCACGACCATTGTACTAAAGTTTTTAAATGTATATGTATCACTTTTAAAATTTAAAAATCATATTAAAAGCTGTATGTCTGTTGACCTGTACACTGAAGATGTGTGCATTTCACTATCTGTAAATTATACCTGTTTTTTTAAAAGAAGGAAACTATATACAAAAATTCAACTAATCATGTTAAAACTGATTTTGTCAAATTAAATGGATTCCTCTGTGGCATTTCATTTTAAATATATGGTTCTGATTAGCTAATCATTGAGAATATAAGTACTTTAATCCATTTTGTATAATCACCATTCTTTTGAACAGCACACTTACTATTCTTCTTGGCATTTTTACCCTGCTTCAAGGATTCTGAGTTATTCCCCACCCCAAAATGTTAAATAAGAAGCTGTTAAATAGGAGTTATTTCAGGGAGGGAAAAATTGACAGCGATCTTTTATTGCAGAGACACATCAAAGAATGACAAAACAAAATGCCTACTATTTTGGCATTCACTGTTTGGTACATAGGGGCTTCCCTGGTGGTTCAGCAGTAAAGAACCTGCCTGCCAATGCAGGAGACAAGGGTTCAGCCCCTAAGTTGGGACGATCCCCTGGAGAAGGAAATGGCAACCGACTCCAGTATTCTTGCTGAGGAAACCCCGTGGACAGAGGAGCCTGGAGGGCAACAGTCCATGGGGTCACGAAGAGTCAGACACAAGCTAGTGACTAAGCAACAACGACAGCATTTGGTACACATACAGTGTGATGATATGTAAAATTCCCTCAGGAAGCGACCCATCTCAACTGTTACATCCCTAAATTGATTAAATTTAAGCATTTATTTTTATGGCATCAAAATATGGGGGATGTTTAAAAGTCTTACTTGTTCTCCTTTCCGGGAAGGAATCTCCTGAAGAAGACAAGGACATGGAAGAGAATGCTGCTCTCAAAATCCAGGCAGCCTTCCGGGGACACTTAGCCAGAGAGGAGGTAAAGAAAATGAAATCGAGTGATCTTGAAGAGGAGAAAACAGAGGAAAACGAGTGAGGAGACTGGCTTTACCCCACAGAAAACAAGAAAAAAGTCCAAATCCATCAACCTTGTTGTGATTGTCTTTTTTTCTTAGTAAGTGAGATTTGATGTAGTGAAATAACATTTGTTGCTGTTGTGAAAAATCTGTCGTGAGCATTTGTTTAATAAACATGCCATTGAACACATGCCTCTTGAAGATTTCTCTGATATCATGAGTCTTATTTATACTTCTCCCAAGTGTATGTCTAGAGACCCTTGGATTTAGAGTTACAAAGCTGGATTTAGAGTGTCTGACCTAACCTTTATCTAATGAATAAATATTCTCTATCACATCCCTGAAAAATAGTCCTTTGTCTCTTGTTTCACTCCCAGTAGTAGAGAATTTCACTGCCTTTCTAGAATAGTCCATTTAGTTTTTGAGTAACTCAAATTTATTTGAAAGATAAACTGAATCAAAAACCTGTCTTCCTGGAAGTTTCACTCATTGGTTTTCATTTGTCGTGCATGCAAACAATCTTACTGAAAAAAATGTATTGAGCACAATTCATGGGCTGGGATTTAGCAGTAAACATCTGCTCTTACACTCATGTAGCTGGCAGTTTTTTGTTTTTTGGGTTTTTTTTGTCTTGCTCTCCAGAACTACACAGAACTAGACTAATATATAATATTTACAAAAAAACAAAGTCTATCATCATGTCATAGATGCTCTGTTCTTTAGCTAAAATTCCCCAAGTTTTTTTAAATTGTAAATGATAATACATGTTTCACAAACTCAGGAACCTATGCCTTTTATTCTTCAGTGAACCACTCAGGCTCTCGGTGCCTTATTTTTGGAAAGTTTAGTTTTCCTTTTTTGAGGCTTCCCCACCCTTGAATATCAAAAAGACTGCAGGGCTCATGTCTTAGGCCAAAAGTTGCAGCTTCCTTCCCAGAATAAAACAGAGAGAAAATGGAATCTTATCTTTTAATTAGTGCTGTTGCCATCTACCAGCAGACTAAGGTAATGTTCTGCCTGATTTAAGAGACAAAGACTTTTTCCCTAGTGAATATACAACAGGGCAAAAGAAGATGCCAGTTAACTTTTTCAATAATTCTATTATACATGGGAAGTGATTAAAACTGTGTCTTCCATGTAGTCAGTGTACACGCAGACACACACGAATACACAGACACATCTAGGGATGGTAATATTTTTAGTGAAGGAGGAAAAGAAAGAAATGGTGGTGGTGTTAGGACAAGGCATATGAATTAACACTTTATTAGCATGTGTTTGATTTTCTTCTTATCTCTCTGGCTGCTCCTTTTCAATCTTCTTTGCTGCTAATTCTTCAATGCCTCAACCACCAAATACAAAATGCCCCCAGCCTTAGTCCTTGGACCTCTTTTCAAGTGATCACACTTACTTGTGGATCCCGTCCAGTCTTGGCTTTATTTTTTTTTAATATATTATTCACTTCTTTATGGCTGCATCAGGTCTTAATTGTGGCACAGGAGTCCTCCTCTACAATCTATCAGCAAAATCTGTAGACTCCGTGGCTAAAATTACCCAGCATCTAACCACTTCTGTTGTTGCCACCCTGGTTCTAGTTCCCATCATCTCTCTCATGAATCATCTCAGTTCCCTCTATCTTGGTCATTGACGCACTAATGCTGTACAACCCACTCCAAATTCAATGATTTCAAACATTTTTTTTCTCATGCTCAGTCGTGTCTAACTCTTCGTGACGCCATGGACTATAGACTGCCAGGCTCCTCTGTCCATGGGATTCTCCAAGTAAGAATACACTGGCGTGGGTTGCCATGCCCTCCTCCAGGGGATCTTCCCGACTCAGGGATGGAACCCATGTCTCTTACATCTCCTGCACTGGCAGGCAGATTCTTTACCTCTAGAGCCACCCAGGAAGCAAGCTGGGCTGGACTTTAGGCTCAAGAGCAGGTTCAGGTCTGCTCTAAGCTAAGGCTTTGTGGGTTGGCTGTGGAAGGTCTGCTTCAGACTGTGAGCCCAAGAGTCATCTGCAGTCCTTTGTTCCACGTCTCCTATTCAGAGCCTAGGCTGAAAACACTACCTGGGGCATGTTCTTCTCATGGTGTCACAGAAGCACAAGCAGGAAAATCCAACAGAGGAGAATATTCCAGGCTTTTGTTCATAACACTTCCCTGGAGTAAGGGGCCACCTGGCTGAAAGTCAAGACAGTTTGAAGTCCCTTACAGTAAATAGTGTAATATTGTCAGAGGAAAGGAATAGTGGGAGCTGGACAGCAAACAACAAATACCCTTCACAATATTTGACTCCACAGGACTTCTCACTACACTGCACTGCCTATCAAATCTTCTGTCACAACCAAAGGCTGGGGAAGTATCGAGAAAAAAAGGAAATAGTTAAAACAGTGAATGAGAGCTTAACAAACAGAGACCTGCAGGGATTTAAATCGCCTGCCACAGAAATTGCAATCTGAACGGGTGTTCCTTGGAGCTGTGCGATGCAGACAGGGGAACCTCCCAAAAGAAAGAGCTTTGGATTCTAGGAGAAGATGAAGATCATGTGACAGAGAAAAAACTGAAACTGTTTTTTTAAAACACACACAAAATGTTCTGTTGGAGGCTGCGTGTGAGAGTCTGTGAAACATGCATTTTTCATAAAACGTTCATATGAACATTTTATATGAACACTGTATCTAAAGAAAAAGAGTCTTCTGTCAAGATCATCAGTCCGTCCTTTTCAGTAAATGTAAGTCCAATATCGTCTGGAGGGACGTGTTCTCTGTTGCGCTGTGTACAGAGCTCGATCCTGTTTCTGTGAGGGAGAAATGAGGCCCAGATCAAGAATGATTGTTGCTATGATTCTGCGTCTAAACAGGTATCGTTCTTTTTTTTTAAGTCAGATTAGATTTTCTATAACAAAACATGTTTGCCTTTTCATACAGTTATTCTAGTCCAAGATACTTTAATTTTTTTAATTTTTAAATTAAAAAAAAATTTTTGGCCCTACCATGTCATGCAGGATCTTAGTTCCCAAACCAGGGATTGAGTTCGTACCCCCTGCAGTGGAAGTCTGTAGTCTTAACCGTTAGACCTCCAGGGAATTTCCCAGAACACTTTAATTTAAAATAACCTTCATTTTAAAGTGCTGCATTTAAAAAAAAATATTTTAGAACATGCATCAATGTCAAAATTTGCTAATTAAACCAACATCTCTTTCAATGTTTAATAATTTTCCACACTCAATAATATCATTCACTTTTGTCATTTTTCTAAAGCAAAATAAATACTTCCCTAATTTCTCAATAAAATTCACCCAGTCATTCCTCTCTGTACCTCAAAACAACTTGAGTTTGAGTTTCTTAACATTTGAAAACATTTCAGCAGGTACCATATTTTCTTCAAACTGTGGGTTTTCTCCTGTGAAATTTTGCCAAGATCTTATTTTATGGGAAGGAGGAGAGGCCACACAGGAGCCAGCTACTAATTTCCCACGTGCAGCTCTCTTGACAGGAGCATTATTTCTAAAGAGCAATTTACAAACATGGGACAAGCACTGTCACTCTTCATTTTTAATCCTGTTTTCCCATCTGTGTCTAAGGAGTATATAATGATGACCCAATTTGTATCAGTTTATGATGTTGATAAACATTTCAAATCTGAAGTACTTTAGACAAATATAGCTACTGGGATTGACAGTTATTTATGCCCGTGAGGCTCTCAGAAGAGACTTAACATGCAAAATACAGTATTTCACAACGTGAAATGATTTTCATGAATGAACCGTACTTGGGAGTAACCACTCTCTGTTGTGTGGAGCATAAAAAGCAAACGCCTGCCAAATGGTGATGTCATAGTAACTAAAATCTGGACAGCCACCATACTCATTACCACACACCTTGGCAAACGATGGTCAACACTCCAAAACCAAGAGATAACCAGAGGAATATCAACACTACCCGAAGGGGATCATATATAAGGAGAAGGTGTCAACATTGGCCATCATTCTCTCCCTGAAGGCTCCTGTCTCAGAGGATTCTGACCAAGAACTGAGGCATTTTACTCCATTGAAATGATATGACTAAGAAGCAGGGCTCAGGGCTTCCCTGGTGGTTCAGTGGTAAAAGATCTTCCTGCAAATGCAGGAGACACAGGTTCAATTCCTGGTCCAGGAAAATCTCACACGCAGTGAAGCAACGAAGTCAAAGAGCCACAACTATTGAATCCGCCCTCTAGAGGCTGGGAGCTGCAACTACTGAAGCCCGTGTGCCCTAGAGCCTGTGTGCTGCAATAAAAAAAGCCACCACAATGAGAAGCCCCCACTCACTGCAATTAGAAAAAAGTTGGTGGAGCAGCGAAAACCCAGAACAGCCAAAAATATATAAGTAAACATTATTTTTTTAAAAAGTAAGGCTCAGATTGATAAATCAGGCATTAAACCAATTTTGGAAGCTATCAGAAAACTTGCTTTTGAGACAATAGCATGCTTGCCTGGAGACCTAACAAGCAATTGTTAAAGAAACACAGTAACTACAGTACAATCTTGATGGTGAGTTTAGACTGCTTCACTAACTTAAACCTTCAGCTGTAAGGAGCTACTTCAGTCCAGGTTACACCCTCCCTCAAGGCAGCTTGCATCTACTGACTAGTCACTGCAGTGGTACAAGGGCTTGGCCTTTTGCCTCAAAACGAGGCAACCCTGCAGGACCATTCCAGCTCTCAGTCACAGTATTGACTGAGCTTGTGTTGCAATTTTATCACAGTCCTATCCAGTCCTGCGTCCCTACCATCCTAATAGATATCAGTCCTGAATGTACTCTCCTGTAAATCCCCTCCACGCCAACTCTCCAAACAGTTGGTCTCAAAAACCATTCCCAGGGCACACGTAATCTGTAAGGTGAAAATCTCTGACATCTGCACATTTCAAAAATATTTTCTTCCTCTAATGTCATCTGTATCAAAATTCAGGGATGGGGTGGTGGGATGAAATGGGAGTTTGGGATCGACATATGTACGCTGTTGATCTATGAAATAGG